AGGATCACTGCGGGTTAGGCGTTTATACTTCCTTGGTCCTGTGTATGAACGAAATCTTGAGAGATTCGGAGAGATTTCTGTTGTTTTCTTCAATCTTGTTTCTTCATGGCTCGAGTTGATGATTGTTTTTCAGGGTGGTAGGCATACAGAGAGGTTACTGGATCGGGAGTAAACTCAAGAGTTACTCCAGCCGGATTCTAACAACAGTTGTCAACGTGCATGTTGACGGGGAATTAGCTCTTGGGGGAATAAAGGACAAAATCGACATCACTGTCCCGGAACGCTTTATGCACAACATGTAAACAATAAACAACAATTGCACAATGAGCGGAATACCTGCTCTGACAACACAAACACAGCAATGAGCGGATTTTCCAGCTCAGGCGTACAAGAGGTGAGCGGAGCTCCAGCTCACCTCAGGGCGTTTCCTACGAGCAGCATATCCTGCTCGAGGTCGTCCCTATGCCAGCACTCGGAATACCAAGCCTGACTAACATCGTAGTAACTGTGTAATGGTAGCACATATATAGTAATGAACAACAATGGACAGACAAAGAGACAACGACGTTGCTTTTGACATGTGGGCGTGATTAACAAACACAGTTCATGGGATGATCAATTAGGGCAATAAATGCCATACTATAAAAAGCAGTAGTTAAAGGGAAGTAATATGGTAGTCCAGGCTGACTGACAGTCAAAATACAATGAAATGTTGGTGAGGATTAACAACGGGGATTAGCGCCTAAAACGTAATGACAATTAAGTTGTGGAGACATGGCTACAGGGTAAATTGCGCTTGAAGTCAAATGTACTGCAGACAATGGTAGTTATAAATCAGTCACTATGACAACTTCCCTCCGTTCCGTGAAGCTTGGACCCCAAGCTTTGACAAGTCCAAATTGATATGTGTGAACTTTTTCACCAACGGAAACAATAGTGCAAAATGTGAAAAAAATCAGTTAGATGAATTCATGATATCGTTGAAATTTTTGTGCAACAAATATACCTATGCAATGACGGTATGAAAGTGATCATCTAGCCAATTTAATCAAGTGCCAGTTTGAAAGTGATCTTTGTAATGTGCAAATTCACTACGAGTTAATTACCGCTTTGGACAGATTCAATAAATATATTATTGAGGTTCTTTGAATTCAGGAGTCTGGTTTGGCGGTGCGACTCAGTACTGAATAATGATAATGAGTAATGTCATAAAAAGTACAAATTAAACATCTCAGCAAATATTTCACATAAAGAAATTTGAAACCAGGAGTCTAACTTTACCGCGCGACTCAAACGTTACTTGTGGGTACGTTTGCCCTTTTAAGTACAATGGGTGCTCTTCCCGTGTCTTTAACGGAGCTTGCCCATATGTTATGGGTGCTATGCCCAAGGAAAATAATAATCCTTAATTCCGACATCAAAATTCTGAAATGCTGAATACCGCTGTGCTGTTAATTACTTAATACTGACATACAATATACATGTGTGTGGGTGGTTAACCCAAGAAAATCCCTAATCTGAATTCAAAGTCCAAGACAATACTTTCAATTTTGTACCAAACTGTGCACATTAAAAACTTGTAACGAATGACAAATTTGGTCGTTTAGATTTTTGAAATTACGAGTCTAACTTTCAGGTGTGACTCGATAACCCTACAGCTTTGGTTTGTCTGGGACCTAGCTGTATCTATATGTCTGGCGTGGCCTATAGCTAGAGACATTTCAAAGATTCCCTACACAATAACTTCAAAGATCTAGCGTGACTAAACATGGAATTGGAGTATATTGCACATATAGAAATTAATTTTGGAAAAACACATTTTGGCATTAATATACTGGCTTTGATTAAACATACCTGGTTGCACTTATCAACAGTCGCACATCATATATCCTGGATTGAGTCCATGTAAGTAAACACAAATTAGTAAGTCCCAATGAGATATCTTGTACACAGTGTCCATCTTGTAGGTGCCCCTGAGGCGGTTTCTGTATGATCTGCATCATGATGGCTGTGGTCAGGATCACTGCGGGTTAGGCGTTTATACTTCCTTGGTCCTGTGTATGAACGAAATCTTGAGAGATTCGGAGAGATTTCTGTTGTTTTCTTCAATCTTGTTTCTTCATGGCTCGAGTTGATGATTGTTTTTCAGGGTGGTAGGCATACAGAGAGGTTACTGGATCGGGAGTAAACTCAAGAGTTACTCCAGCCGGATTCTAACAACAGTTGTCAACGTGCATGTTGACGGGGAATTAGCTCTTGGGGGAATAAAGGACAAAATCGACATCACTGTCCCGGAACGCTTTATGCACAACATGTAAACAATAAACAACAATTGCACAATGAGCGGAATACCTGCTCTGACAACACAAACACAGCAATGAGCGGATTTTCCAGCTCAGGCGTACAAGAGGTGAGCGGAGCTCCAGCTCACCTCAGGGCGTTTCCTACGAGCAGCATATCCTGCTCGAGGTCGTCCCTATGCCAGCACTCGGAATACCAAGCCTGACTAACATCGTAGTAACTGTGTAATGGTAGCACATATATAGTAATGAACAACAATGGACAGACAAAGAGACAACGACGTTGCTTTTGACATGTGGGCGTGATTAACAAACACAGTTCATGGGATGATCAATTAGGGCAATAAATGCCATACTATAAAAAGCAGTAGTTAAAGGGAAGTAATATGGTAGTCCAGGCTGACTGACAGTCAAAATACAATGAAATGTTGGTGAGGATTAACAACGGGGATTAGCGCCTAAAACGTAATGACAATTAAGTTGTGGAGACATGGCTACAGGGTAAATTGCGCTTGAAGTCAAATGTACTGCAGACAATGGTAGTTATAAATCAGTCACTATGACAGAAATATCATTGAACGTAATTACTGTTATGTTAGTTATGGTCAGTTAGAGTGGAAGGGTTGATCCCAATCCGTGTCATACCAAAAGATGTCATCGTATCTCAATTGCATGGATCGATGCTCATGATGTCAATCACTGGATTCTCTGGTCCATACTCGATTATTTACAGACCACCGTCATATAGCTGGAATATTGCTAATGGAGCGTTGAAACAACAAACAAACAAATATACCAAAAGACGTTATAAGATTGTCCTTGTTGGTTACCCTGCCTGGTGCTCGGTGCTTTTATGTCCAGTGTAATCTGTTTCGGCGGGACCGCCTCCGTGGTCTAGTGGTAGAGCAGTGCTCGGCGAGAGGAATGTCAGGGGTTCGATCCCCGGCTGCGTCATTTCAAAAGACATTAAAAGATGGTGCTTGTTGTTACTATTGTGGTTCTGTTCTGATGTACAAAGACCGCCTCCGTGGTCTTGTGGTAGAGCGGAAGGTCCAGGGTTCGATCCCGGGCCGCGGCATACAAAAAGACGTTAAAAGATTGTGCTTGTTGTTACCCTGTCTGGCGCTCGGCATTAAGGGGCTAAAACAAGGACTGGTCGGCTCGGAGTCAGTATACTGTGTCTGAGTGGGGTATTCATGTTAAACTACGGCATGGTATCTCAGTGAGCTAGCACTATAAATCGGCATCAGTCCGGACTAGTACAAGCAGCCACCACACACATACACGTGCATGCACGTCGCTATATAAGTGCAATAATCTTGGACGCGACGTTAAACCCAATTTCACCTCACCTCACCTCTGATGTACAAAACCTCCCAAATGGCATGCTGGATTTCGGGGAAAGAGTCGGCAAAAGGCCAGAGTCACAGGAGGCTATTTAAAATGTTGTTTACAAGAACAATGAACAGTATCTTAAAATATAGCTGAGGGTGCCACAGAGAGTTGGTACAACCCCCTGGGCTGTGTTGATTAGAGCGTCAAACCCCTTCTGCTTAACATGTGGCTTCTGTATGTATTTAACTAAAATTAGAACAATAAAAAGGAATATGATTGGTTGATATCAGATGGGGTGTGCCCTATGGTTAATGAATGGCTAGACAGAGGGGAATACTTAATCCTGTTGGACTGGCACTAATCTTGTTGACATATTTACTGGGTGCTTGGAAAGAGATTATGGTATCACTATAGACGAGCTTGTATGGGGCTTATCTGAATTGAAGTATTTGCTGAATGTTATTCTAATATAGGTGATGACAGATTTACTTAAATAAAATAGTTCAAGGCAATCTATAAAACTATGTAGACATAACTTTTGTCTTATTGAATAAAATGTCTGGGAGATGGGTTCTCGTTACCTTATGCTAGCGTCTGTCTAAAAAGCAATAACTGAAACTACTAATATTCTGAATAGTATGTCTGGGAGATGGGTTCTTGTTACCTTAGGCTAGCGTCTGTCTAAAAGCTATAACTGAAACTACTAATATTTTGTATCTGCATTTTTCCTGGATCCTAATATGTATTACTTGCTGTTCTATAATTATATGAAATTGTGTATTAATTTTACACCATGGTAAACCATGTGGATCTAATTATTATATGAAAACTTAGTATAAATGTTATATAATGATATTACCCTGCCTGGCGCTCGGCATGAAGGGGCTAAAACAAAGACTGGTTGGCTTGGAGTCAGTATAATGTGTCTGAGTGGGGTATTCATGTTTAACTGCGACATGGTGCCTCAGTGGGCATGGGATATAAAACTGGCATTAATCTGGACTAGTACAAGCAGCCACACACAGGTGCATGCACATCACTCTATAAGTGCAATAATTTTGAACGTAATATTAACAATTAAACCATAGGTCTTCAGCAACCCATATTTGCCCTTATAAGGCGACAATGCTTGTTGTAAGAGGCGACAAACAGGATCAGGTGGTCAGGCTCGCTGACTTAATTTATGCATGTCATCGTATCCTAATTGTGTATATCGATGCTCATGATGTCAATCATTGGATTGTCTGGTCCAGACTTGATTATTTACAGACCGCCATTATATAGCTGGAATATTGCTGAGTGAGGCGTTAAACAACAACTCAACTCAACTCAACTCATCTTAACATATAAATGTTCTCTTTCCAGAGATGCACCTGAGAATACAGACGGTAACGACACTGACAATGATGTCTTCCGTAGCGGGTCCGAGTCGCCGCAGTTCACACTTCCTGTAGGCGTTGACCCCAAACATCGCCGCGCCACAGTCAGCGGAGGGTCACCGACGTTAGAGCGACCCTCATTGGTCATACAAGACCTTGACCCTCCCACAAGGCCGAAGTCACAGTTTGTGAACTCCGCGGAGAAGGAGGCAGCAATGGCTGCCCTGGCGGCCTCAGAGAACAGGCTCGGTGTGGCCAAGATCTGGGACGACAAGTCCAAGGAGATGACGGAACTCACGGCTAGTGAGAGCCAGCAGAGAATTGAGAAATTTGCTGCGAAAGTGAGTCAGAATATGACAGTTGATTCGCCATCATCCACTACAGAGTCACCACAAGCATCAGTTTCTGAAGGTAAAATATGCTTCTGGACAGCCAGCTGAACCCCTTACTTTCTGTGAAGCATATGTATTGTTTTATCTGTTACTTATTGGACGTACCCGTGAAGATCCGGGTAGAGAATAGGTCTTCAGCAACCCATGCTTGCCGCAACAGGCAACTATGCTTGTCGTAAGAGGCAACAAACGGGATCAGGTGGACGGGCTCGCTAACTTGGTTGATGTATGTTATCGTATCCCAATTGCATGGATCGATGCTCATGCACTGGTTCAGCCTCGATTGTTTACAGACCGCCGTCATATAGCTTTGATGTTGCTGAGTGCGGCGTTAAGAGGAAGTACCCTGTGGGGACACCAGGTTAGAATAGGTCCACAGCAATGTATGCTGGATGTAAGAGATGTGCTTGACTGTGTGTCATCATACCCTATGGGGAGAGACACTGCTCATCCAGGCGGCCATCAAATGTCTGGGCTAATGCTGAGTGGGGGGCACGGGTAGCCCAGACGTCTAAGGCGACGCGATTCGCTGTGCAGAGTTGCATCCCTTGGGCACACCAGAAACCTATGATTGTGGGTTCGAATCCCGGTTCGCCCCAATTTTGTTTCTAGGTTTGTCAGCACCATACCCATGCTCGTGGGTTTCACCGAAGTGGTAAACTTCTGAGACCTGCATCACTTCGGGCTTTCCTCCCACATTAAGCTGACACGCCGTGATTTTACTGGAATACTGTTAAAAGAAGCGTTAAACCCAACTCACTCACTCACTCACTAATGCTGAATTCAGCCTTCATAACTGACAAGAATACATTTTACAAATTTAATGGGCACATGGCATTGAATTGTGTAATTTCAGTGTGTTCTTCATGAACAAATATTTTTAGTAGTTTAAAGGTAGTAATTAGTTCTTGAAGTATATTGATTTATGGATCCACCAACTCAACAAAATGAGTTCTGGTAGCGTAAAAATATAAATCTTAAAATCTCTGGCCAATAATTGATTCACATTTTCTAGCTTGTGTATTCCAGGGTTAGAAAATGGCACTAGCTCGCTTGCCTGATTCAGCTTGTCTTATGTCTTATTAAGTTAAGTGACATTTGTCATTTCACAAAGACTGCCTCCATGGTGTAGTGGATAGAGTGTCTGCACAGAGAGCAGAAGGTCTGTGGTTCGATCCCCGGCCGCGTCATACCAAAAGACGTTCAAAGATGGTTCATGTTGTTACCCTGCCTGGTGTTCAGCATTAAGGGGCTAAAACAAGGACTGAGTCAGTATTCTGTGTCTGAGTGGGGTGTTCATGTTAGACTGTGGCATGGTATCTCAGTGGACAAGCACTTTTAATCAGCACCTGTCCGGTCTAGTACAAGCAGCCACACACACACACATGCATGCACGTCGCTATAAAAGTGTAATAATCTTGAAAGTGACGTTAAACCCCATCTCACCTCACCTCACCTCACCTCACCTCACCTCACCTCACCTCACCTCACCTCACCTCTCATTTCACAAACTGTGTGAAACCTGTAGCGTATTCACTGGTAGTGTATACAGGAGACGCACTTATGTCTCCAGATTCCCCTGAGACTGTCGAGAACCCTGACCAGAAGTCCGTGGAGGTCCGGCGCCAGGAGTTCCGCGTGACGAAGCCCACCCCCCATGTTCTGGAGAACCCGTACAAGGTACTGGAACGGCCTTACTCCCAGTCCAAGGAGGTGGTGTCCGAGGTAGCCACGGACAACAACGCACGTGACCAACCCACTCTCATGACGATTAAGCGTCTTGATTCGTCAACCCGATCTGACGTAAGTGAGGAACTTCTTTGGTTAGGAGTTATATTAAAGAGACACTCTGCTCAGGCTAAATGGCAGTCCCTGGAAATATGATTCATGTCCTTCTATTACCATTTATTTGACTGCTAACTCAAATAAAATGATATTCACCAATTTTGTTGTTGTTTGTTGTTTATGGCCGCATTCAGCAATATTCAAGCTATATGAGAGCGGTCTGTGAATAATCAAGTCCATGTTGATGTTGCGCTGTGGTGGTGGTAATGATGATGATGATGATGATGTCATGAAGGGCAGCGGTGGTGATGTGCTGTGATGATGATGATGATGATGATGATGATGATGTCATGAAGGGCAGCGGTGGTGATGTTGTGCTGTGATGATGATGATGATGTCATGAAGGGCAGCGGTGGTGATGTTGTGCTGTGATGATGATGATGATGTCATGAAGGGCAGCGGTGGTGATGTTGCACTGTGATGATGATGATGATGATATCATGAAGGGCAGCGGTGGTGATGTTGTGCTGTGATGATGATGATGATGATGATATGTCGTGAATGGCAGTGGTGGTGATGTTGCGCTGTGATGATGATGATGATGATGATATGTCGTGAATGGCAGCGGTGGTGATGTTGCGTTATGATGATGATGATGATAATGATGATGATGATGATATGTCATGAAGGACAGCGGTGGTGATGTTGCGGTGTTGTGATGTAGATAGTGTACATGATAATGGTTACATTGACATTAATAGCAGCAGTGGTGATGTAAATGATGTTTTCATGTTACAGGAAGTCAAATTAAAGGAAGAACAAGATTCACCGAAGGAGAAGAAACATGTTGGCTTTGCAGCTGACTGTAAGGAGGATAGTGAGGAAAGTGTCAGGTAATTATATCAGGATTAGGGTGTATCATACACAGGAGAGTTTTATTGATGCCATAAACCTGGTATCACCATCTGATAAATATGCAAATGAGGTCGTCGGCACTACTTTGGATAAGTTCCATGCTTGTCAATGTCTTGCCTGTGCAGAGTTATAAGCAGTGTGACCAAAAAGTGTGAAAATGCTAGGGAAGAAAGCTGTAGTTGGTGATGTTAATCAGCTAGGGAGCTGAAAGCTATTGTATTGAGAAGCTGGAGAGTTGGAGACAAAGGAACAGGAATAGAATAACCTGTCCACCCTGAAATAAAATGCACCAACCGCGGGGACTCTTAACCCAAGAACATACATCTGCACCATACCTGAGCTTGTGGGTTTCACCAAAGTGGTCAGTGTCTAGGATCTGCATCATTTCGGATTCATTTTCTCCCACATCAAACTGACCAGCCGTGCTATACCTGAAATACTGTTGAAATCGGTGTTGAACCTGACACTCACTCACAAAAGAATGAACGCCCCCTACTGCTACTTCCTAATACCCCGGTGTGGCACCTGGTCCTCTGCACAGCACATAGGTCATAAATCACATGAAGTTAAGCGACATCGGAAGAATCCTCGGACGGGTGACTGAGTTTTGGCAGCTTGGCTCCTGAGAGTTTTAGGGCTTCAGTCCTGCCTCACACTGAAGCACATGTAACACATGTGGTGTCTCCTTGGGCAAGTGACTTTGTTCGAAATGTGCCTCTGTTCACCCACCAGTGAGTGGGTACCCGGTAGGATGAGATGGTAATGTGGCTGTTAACCTTCCAGCACCTATAAAAGCAGCTTGGGTTGTATACTCCCCAGGGAGCTGAGAATGATAGTTGAGTGCACACTGATCCAGTGACTGGGGTAATAAAAGTTCTTTGAGCGTGCCCCCGTGTGTTGTGGAAATATGCGCAATATATTATTATTATTATTATTATTATTATTATTATTATTATTATTATTTGCAGCTACACACATATAGTGGTGGGTGGAGTGGTGCAGAAGATACCCGTGGACAAGAGTCAAGTCTTCGTATCCGATGTAAGTGTTGTTATTGACAGTACTCGCGTACACCTCTTAAAACTGCCATGTGTTTGTTGTGATGATAAATGAGATTATCTGTGGCAATTCATAGTTCTTTGTTCAATAAGAAACCTATTTTTCAGTGATGTTTATTTTTTAATCGATTACTTTGATTTGTTTTTATCAGTCCCCCACGGTGAGAAGAAGGGCCAAAACTGGAACCAAGAGACTCGGTGAGATATTTGTTACTTGAAACTGTTAGGTGTCTTTCTGACTGTCAACTGTTCCCTTCAGATCACGATGTGTCATGTAAGGACCTGGGCAATGGGTACTGTCTGTCTGTCTGACCGCCCATCTGTCTATCTCTATCTGTCAGTCATACTATCGGACTGTCTCCTGTCATGTAAGGACTTGGGCAAGGAGGTCTTCCTTGTCTGTCTGTCAGTCATACTATCGGACTGTCTCCTGTCATGTAAGGACTTGGGCAAGGAGGACTTCCTTGTCTGTCTGTCAGTCTGACCATCGGACTGTCTGACTGTCTCCTGTCATGTAAGGACTTGGGCAAGGAGGTCTTCCTTGTCTGTCTGTCAGTCTGACCATCTGACTGTCTGACTGTCTCCTATCATGTAAGGACTTGGGCAAGGAGGTCTTCCTTGTCTGTTTGTCAGTCTGACCATCGGACTGTCTGACTGTCTCCTGTCATGTAAGGACTTGGGCAAGGAGGTCTTCCTTGTCTGTCTGTCAGTCTGACCATCTGACTATCGACTGTTTCCACCTGTTACATGCTGTATGTCATGTAAGGACGTAGACAAAGGGACTGTCTGTCTGTCTATCTGTTTGTGTATCTGTCTGACCATGGGACTGTAAGACTATTTCGGTGTTACGTGTTGTGTGACATGTAAAGACCTAGACTTTCTGACTCTGTCTGTCTCTCTGACTCTTAGTCTGTCTGTCTGTCTGTCTGACCATGAGACTGTAAGACTATTTCGCTGTTACAGGTTGTGTGACATGTAAAGACACAGACTGTCTGTGTGACTCTGTCTGACACACTGTCTGACTCTCTGTCTGTCTCTCTGACTCTTAGTCTGTCTGTCTGTCTGTCTGTCTGACTGTCTCCTCTTTCCATCCAGATCGCCGTGTGTCTTGCAAGGACCTGGGGAAGGGGGACTGTGAGGGTTGGCTGCTGAAGAGGAAGATGTCCCGTGGAATCCTGAACAAGAGCTGGGCCAAGAGATGGTGCATCCTCAAGACCTCCAACCTCTTCTACTACAAGGAGAAGGACGTAGGTGTTCCATCACTACTGTAACTAGACCTGAGATGTTGATTGTTCTGTATTGGTAACATAGTTCAGAAGGGGTACATCTTAACAAAGTTTGTCAGATGAATTGGAAACTGGCCTCAAACTCTCGTGGTCAGAGTTACCCGACTCAGAAGTCCCGGGACGTGTTTCTCAGGTACTCAGGTCGGGTGGGTACCGAGCAGGATCCGGGTACCCACAAGACTACCCAGACCCATGGTTAGTCATGTGATATATGGTTTAATTACAAAAATTATCTAGAACTATATGGTACCACAAGAGACACTAATGTTTGCATATCTTTCTGACGATGCACCCATTCCTTCTGACTTTTATATGTTTGAATGAAGATAGAACTTCTGTAAAGTTCAGTGTATGCATGACCTGATTGTTTTATACGTGTATGTAAATCACACAGTAATTGAGGTTCAAAATTAGAATAAAGAGGTATCTATTCTACAGTGGGACTACATCAAATTTCAAAACACAGTAGGTTTATCTCCTAATTGACCTAACCCTATGTTGATCCATGTTGACCCTATATTGACCCGATATTGTCGTGACAGGATCTGAAGGCGGAGGGGGTGATCCATCTGCCGGCCTTCCAGGTGTCTCCTGCCACTGACATCAAGACCAAGAAGAGGTAAGCACATGGTGGACATGTTAGGTATCAGTAGCTGTCCCTGTAGTCAAAACGTTAAACTAGTACAGGTACATGTAGGAAATAGGGATGTCTATTCATGCATTTTCAATTTGGTGTTGTCCAAACTTCACCATGTTTGGAAAGACATTGATTCAGAATGTGCTTATCAGTTAGCATCAGACAGTAATGAAAGTTCCTTGCTACTTTCCTACTGACTTGTGATGAATCTATGGTGGATAAGCAAGTCTTTGTCATCACACAGAAAGGTACACATGACATTGTGAGTGGGTATACTACTCAACAATTGATAGGGGTACTGTAAGTCTTTGTCATCATAGAGCAGTGCACATAACATTGTAGGTGGGTATACTACTCAATATTGGATAGGGGTACTTTAAGTCTGTTGTTATCATCGAGTAGTGCACATAACATTATGGGTGGGTATATTACTCAACAATTGATAGGTGTACTGTTAGTCTCTGTCATAGAGTAGTGCACATAACATTGTGGGTGGGTATACTACTCAACAATTGATAGGGTTACTGTTAGTCTGTCATAGAGTAGTGCACATAACATTATGGGTGGGTATACTACTCAACAATTGATAGGGGTACTGTTAGTCTGTCATAGAGTAGTGCACATAACATTGTGGGTGGGTATACTACTCAACAATTGATAGGGGTACTGTTAGTCTGTCAAAGAGTAGTGCACATAACATTATGGGTGGGTATATTACTCAACAATTGATAGGGGTACTGTTAGTCTCTGTCATAGAGTAGTGCACATAACGTTGTGAGTGGGTATATTACTCAACAATTGATAGGGGTACTGTAAGTCTCATAGAGTAGTGCACATAACATTGTGGTGGGTAAACTACTCAACAATTGATAGGGGTACTGTTAGTCTCTGTCATAGAGTAGTGCACATAACATTGTGGGTGGGTATACTACTCAACAATTGATAGGGGTACTGTAAGTCTCTGTCATAGAGTAGTGAACATAACATTGTGGGTGGGTATACTACTCAACAATTGATAGGGGTACTGTAAGTCTGTTGTCAGAGTAGTGCACATAAAATTGCAGATGGGTATACTACTCAACAATTGATAGGGGGACTGTAAGTCTGTCATCATAGAGTAGTGAACATAACATTGTGGGTGGGTATACTACTCAACAATTGATAGGGGTACTGTAAGTCTGTTGTCATAGAGTAGTGCACTTGACATTGCGGATGGGTATACGACTCAACAATTGATAGGGGTACTGTAAGTCTGTTGTCAGAGTAGTGCACATAAAATTGCGGACGGGTATACTACTCAACAATTGATAGGGGTACTGTTAGTCTCTGTCATCATAGAGTAGTGCACTTGACATTGCGGATTGCACTCACTCACTCACTCATGATAAATCGCAAAGAACAAAATTTCTTGGGATTAGAACATACACTCACAACTTGTTGACGTCATAAATTGTACAACATTTTTTTTTAGAGGAAAATGTCTAGTGAGTTGTTCCCCAAAGATGTAGCTCGGTAACGCAGTTTAACGGAATGGCCAAAAGTGGGTGACAGCTACAGATAATCAACGTGAAAATTGTGAGAATATCCGTGAAATACCAAACTTAACACCACTGTTAAAAAAATGGACTAGTCTGACATTGCTGAGATCAAATTATATTCAGAGAGTCATCATTATTTAAGTACGGGTAAATATTTTCAAAGCTTGTACATTTATTTAACATCCTTGAAGAGGCTGTACATAATGTTGATATCTCATATACAAAATAAACAACTCCTGGATGTTGTTTATCCTACAATAAAACACTGCAGGGAGAATAAACCACATCAGCCCTCATGGTTTATTCTCCCTGCAGTGTTTTATTGTACAGTAAACAACTCCCACTAGTCGTTTATTTCTTAAGTATAGAGTAGTATGAAACAGCAGTCTTTTTGTATCTGTCAATCATGATGTTGCCATGGTTACAATATGCCTATTTTTACTATTGGCTGCTGCACAGTGAGCATGGGTGAGTATGCAGGCTCACAGGAATCTGTCAGCTGGATAATTGTGTTCTGTCAGTTGGATAATTGTGTTCTGTCAGTTGGATAATTGTGTTCTGTCAGTTGGATTATTGTCTTCTGTCAGCTGGATAATTGTCTTCTGTCAGCTGGATAATTGTCTTCTGTAGGTTGGATAATTGTCTTCTGTCAGTTGGATAATTGTCTTCTGTCAGTTGGATAATTGTCTTCTGTTCAACATTATTGTTGATATTGGTTTCCCTTTGCAGTGTCTGAACTAAGACCTTGCTTTGTGATAATGCATCCTCAGGTATCCAGGGTATAACATCACCAATCTATTATCATACCCTAGACCCAGTTGCTAACATAACTTCATTTTCACCCCATTTGAATAGCATGATGGTAAAAATCACCATCAATCTCTTACCCTCAAGAGAAACTGTGTTACATTGGAAATAGACAAGATGGGTTGGTGACGTCACTTCCAAACAAAGCTATCGCGCAAATGGGTCAAGGGTAATTATCTGAATAGAATGGAGATAAACTTCCCTGGGTCATCGAGGATGGTCACAATGTGAATTTGATACCTTCTTCACATGATGTTGCAATATGTATGACAGTAGTGTTATAATGAGGGGATAGGAGAAATATTCTATGTATGACAGTAATGTTATAATGAGGGGATAGGAGAAATATTCTATGTATGACAGTAGTGTTATAATGAGGGGATAGGAGAAATATTCTATGTATGACAGTAGTGTTATAATGAGGGGATAGGAGAAATATTCTATGTATGACAGTAGTGTTATAATGAGGGGATAGGAGAAATATTCTATGTATGACAGTAGTGTTATAATGAGGGGATAGGAGAAATATTCTGTATCACAGATATGACAAATTGCAACACTAAGTAGGTTTTCTTAACCCCTGGTATTTATGTATGATGTGATGAAAATATAGGTGTTATTTCAGACACTGCTTCTGTTAACCTGTTTTTTGTTTTGTTGTTTATTTCAAAATGTATTCTTGTATATTTTTTGGGGCAGGTGTACGCCATTGTTGAGTTTTATTTTATTGTGGTTTGTTGTCTTCATTCTATGTATATTACTCCGAAGAAGTTAAACAACAATATTTTCATACGACTATAGTTAATCTGTCATGTCATAATTTTTCCATGGGACTATAGTTAATCTGTCATGACAGATTGACTAGTCACATGAACAAAATTGGGTGTTGTTGAACTTCGTTTCGAGAAGTATATCTGCATGTTGTTCAAGTGGTTTTGAAAGATTTCTCGATGTTGTTTCACCGTCTGAAAACCAGAGCTGGAGCTGGACACCCACGACTCACAACTACTGATGCTGATACTGTCATTAATACTTCAACTGTGTTATCTTATATGTTGTCCAGCCAACCATGGCATCGCAATTTGCTGTGCAGAGTTACGTACCTTAGGTGTGCAGGATACTTGTGACGAGGGGTTAGAACCTAGGTTCACCCTGATTATGGTGTATTGTTGTGTAAGCAACATAAAAATGTGCTCACAATATGACCTGCATCACTTTGGGCTTTCCTCAGTGTTCAATAGTTTTGGGTGAAAAAGCTCGTTTCTTACAATTTTATTATTTGATTTGGCTATATTTTCCAGGTAGACATGAACCTATATAATCATGTTGTAATAGTAAGGCTAAGTTCATGTAAAAAAGCTGATATTTTACAAATTCTTGTTATTTTTAAATGTTTGTATAAAATGTAAATACGTGGTCAGACTAGATGATAGATGTGCTGTTAATTATAGCAGTTTGTGATATGACATATATCCCTACTGTATGGTGTATCAAGTCATCATGCCAAGATCCATTGATTCTTGGTTTAGATCCAAGATTTGATCTGAGGGTTTGTCTTCTGAGTGTGGCGTTAAACATCAAACAAACAGTCAAAGCAGATTTAAACCCAGGTCACTCACTCATGTAGGACTGTGAGACAGTAGAATGATGATGATGATAATGATGATGATGATGATGATGATGATGATGATGTGAGAGACACAACTAGCCATGTATCTTTTGTATCTATGTAGTGATGTGAGAAAGTAGAATGATGATGATGATGATGGTGATAGTGATGTGAGAGACACAACTAGCCATGTATCATTTGTATCTATGTAGTAATTGGTAACTGTGTTCTGATTTCAGTGCCTTCAAGATCCACAACCCCGGCACTACCTTCTACTTCGCATCAGAGAGACAGGATGATATGAGCAAGTGAGTGATCGTCATGTTGTGTTCATGTGGCCATCTTTCCCTTCTCTCCATTCCCACGGTGGCCCAGTCATCTAAGGTGAAGCAATAATGCACCTGCCCAGAGAGCAGGAGGTCTGTGGTTCTATCCCCGGCTACATCATACTTAAATACATAAAAAAATGATAATGATAATGTGTAGGGCACCGTCTTATTGCTGAAATATTGCTGAGTGTAGCATTTACAACAAACAATAGTGGTCATTCCGCCACCTTTTCTCCACAGCATCTTACAGTGTTGTATCATGTGAAACATTTGTCCACATTGCCAAGTGACCCTTGTTCCTCTTCTCAGATGGATGAACAAGATGGGCCTGGCGGCCATCAACTTTGATACAAGTCGAGTCATCACCACGGGGGGCTTCATTAAGCCTGAGCCACGCTCGCCTCACCCCATGGGGGTACAGAGTAAGTCTACACTACTGGTATACTGTACATGAATCCTAGGCATATCATCCAGTATACATATCAACTCACATACATTCACTCAGTATTGACCTGATGAAGGTGCAAGAAGCTGCCCTGAAACGATAAAGAAGTTCCATTGTTCCATTAGGGCTGTATGTATTCATTTCCTAGATACTATCTGTCTCTACTACTATCCTAGCTACTGACTACTATTATGTACTGTCCTTGCTACTGACTACTTTTATACTATCCTAGCTACTACCTGACTACTATTATGCTACTGTCCTTGCTACTGACTACTTTTATACTATCCTAGCTACTACCTGACTACTATTATGCTACTATCCACGCTACTGACTATTATACTACTATCCTAGCTACTGACTACTATTAAACTACTGTCCTAGCTACTGACTATTATACTACTATCCTAGGTACTGAATTCTATTATACTACTATCCTAGCTACTACCTGACTACTTTTATACTACTATCCTAACTACTGACTATTATACTGCTATCTTAGCCACTGATTACTATAATACAACTATCCTAGCTACTTACTACCATTATACTCCTATCCCAGCTACTGACTACTATTATGCTGCAATTACAATTACCATAATTGCAACAATCTGACTATTATTCTGCTCTTCTAGCTACTATCTGACTGTACTACTATCCTATCTGACTACAGTGATGCTACTATCTCCTCCCCCAGATATCTACTACTCAGAGTCGGAAGACGAGGGGGACGACGGGTCCATCAGCAGTCAGATGGGCAGTCAGTTATCACTCAACAGTCAGACGTCCACGTGCAGCACCAACACGTTGTCCGGCACAGCAACACAAGACTCAGGTGGCAGCACCTCCACTCTGGTGCCAGCTGCAGACTCCTCGGTATCCGTAGAGAAAAGACCGAAAGGTAGATGCATACGTTGAACATGACTGATTCTGTACCGTCATTCCCTGACAGTGATGGTCAATTCTTGTACAATCAGCTGATGGTTAGCCTGACACAGCCTTCATTGTTAACACTTCTCCCAATCTCATTAAAATCACATTTCTGGTGTCCCCCACCGTGATATTGCTGGAATATTGCTAAAAGCGGCGTAAAACCATACTCACTCACTCACTCATTAAAATCAGATCTTAGTTCTCGCTGCTGCTAAACAAAGATCTGAGGACATCCCATTACGGGTCACGTCAGACTGACCGTTCGTGAACTCTCACCGACCAATGGAATTACTGACAAGAAGTTGATATTAGCCAATCAGAAGGCAGCTTTCTCGTGCTTTACGGCACTAATTTCAAATTGGCGACTACGCTTCGAAACATATTTTGACAAATTCTCGCTTAAAAAATTTGAAACCTGAACAAAAGAACATTCTCGAATGGCTAATATATGGTCTAGATTGTATAGATTCAGTCATTAAGCCCGTAACTATCGTTCGGAATACCCCGTTTTAAAGTTTTCCGGGCTGCATGATTAGAAATCACATTCTGACTGTCACTTTCATGATCGGGTAAGCGACGCTTTGATTGGTCGGATGAAAGGTCGTTCTGACGTGAACCCTAATGGGATGTCCTCAGATCTTTGTTTAGCAGAACTAAGATCTGATTTTAATGAGATTGACACATCTCCAGGACAGAATTATGTATGAAGCGTCAACACCAGAGAACAACCAGTCTTGATTATTACCAAAACAGATTCAAATGGACATAAAAGGCAAAATAATGGGGCAAATTATTTGAATAGACCACACAGTTTTATTTTTAAATACGCGTTTGTTTTAGGACTGGAAAACTTGTAGCAGGGGCGGTCGGGTAGCTTAGTGGTTAAAGCGTTCGCTCGTCACGCCGAAGACCCGGGTTCAATTCCCGACATGGGTACAATGTGTGAAGCCCATTTCTGGTGTCCCCTGCAGTGATATTGCTGGAATATTGCTAAAAGCGGCGTAAAACCAAACTCACTCACTCACTTTTGAGTAGCACTAATGGAGATGGACCAGAATATCCAGTGTCACGATAGTGCATTTACTGATTTTGTCGAAACTAATAATGATATGTTAATTCTGAATTACATCTGCTGTGTACAAATGTAGGGATTCTGTGCTCAGAAGTAAAGAAAAATGTTACGAAAAATAAAAGTGAAACTAAAAAGTCGCTGACTGCGGCGTATATCAACATTTACGCAATGCCCTAGTTGTTGTTTGATGCAGCAGTCACTAAGATTCCAGCTATATGATGTAAATAATTGAGTGTGGACCAGACAATCCAGTGAATGATATCATGAGCGTCGATCCACACCAGAGTGTGCAGAGTTGCATGCCTTGGGCACCCCAGAAGTCTATGATTCTGTGTTCAAATCCTTGTTCGCCCCGATTATGTTTCTAGGTTTGTCAGCACCATATCAGTGTTCATGGATTTCACCAAAGTGGTAAACGTCTAAAACCTGCATCACTTCAGGTTTTTCTCTCACATCGAGATGACACGCTGTGATATAACTGGAATACTGTTGAAAGCGGCGTTAAATCCAACTCACTCACTCACTCACTCACTCACTCACTCACTCGCTCTTATCTCTTGCAGAGTCCAGTGTATCCTCCGAACCTCCATCAGGTAGCCATGACGACCTCACAGGTATTTTACGCAACCTACATGGACAAAACCTCACAATAGATGGCATTGATAGGGAACGACTACGTAGAAGTCACATTACATCGGCCGACTTGCTGAAATCGTCGCGAGGAGAGATAAACAAACTTAGGAAACTCCAGTCACTGCAGAGGACATTGAAGGTGTCTGTCTTAGATCTGTTCCTGCTTTTCGCTCCAGGTTGCAGCGGAACGCCTCACTCAACATGCTCCTTGTGTACAACTAGTTCTCACTGCTTTGTTAGCTGTATTTGGTGACGTAGTTGAACACGCTTTGTAGTTCCATGGGGTAGGGTTTAGATGCAGCTGTTTTATTTAATATCTTATTTACTCATTTAATGTCTGATTTGATTTTGAAAATATGATATAGATAGTCTATTCTCATTAGGCTTTGGATTAGTTTTAGGTGATTATCATTTTGATATTTATTTAGATTTTTCATTTCTGTTGTGATGAAGGAAGCGATATTAGATTTGTATCTTCTTTTCATAGCCTTAGTGTTTGTTTATGGATTATTATTATAACATTTTGCAAAGTATCATAGGCCAGTTATCTGTTATTAGATATGTAGTGGGGTAGCCCAGCAGTTAATGTGTTCACTTGTGGCAGTGAAGACCCAGGTTTGATTCCCCATATGGATACACCATGTGCAGCCAGTACCTGGTGAGCCTCATCATTATATTGTGTGGTGTAGACCTGTACCCCCTTCAGTTGTCAGTAGATGGCATCCAACTGTTCCACACTTCCAACTGTCCCACTGATTGATACGAGTCTAAACATTTGAATTCACTTAAATTCATATATTGGTTCTTTGTTCTAAAATCTGACCAATCAATTTAAATTTTAATTATTATTTTTTCAAAAACATTAATCTTGCTATGTTTTGCATAAAAAGTTAACATCCCCAAGAAATATTTCCATATTGTCCTGTTACCATGGTTACCTACAATATAGGGGGACAGAGCTGAATGCCTACTGCCTGAGTTGCCGTAAGTGAAAGACACATCCTCGGTTATCTAGGGTATTATATCTCTGTTGTACTTCTGATAACTACCCTGAACTCATTTGCAACCACAGCTTTATTTAGGAAATAATGTCAGCATCTCCATCTCTCTTATCAGAGTTGCATCCCTTTGGCCTCCCATGATCCTACGATCGTGGTATTGATCGTGGTCAACACCATTCCCATGCTTGTGGGTTTCAGATCTCTTTCATTCTGGGCTGCCCTCACTTTGATATAACTGAAAGAGTGCTCAGAGCTGCATGTACCAAACTCACTCACTCAATCACTCACACTCTTTATCAGTGAATTCGCATAATTTCTCTGGCACAAGAGTGTAATTTGATTGGACAGTATTCTTAGCGTCACATTTCTCAAATGGACCTCAAACAAAGCTGGAGTTGAGAATGAGGACAGACTATTCGTCATAATACCACAGGGAAAAAGCAACTGGGCCCCATTCCTCGCAGAGATCTTTTTGCTAAGATGATCGTAACGCACATCACAGACTTACGACAGTCACTGTGTGGAAAAGGGCCTTGATAATACAGAATGTGTCCGACAAGGAGGACGTGCACCTATCAAAACGTAGCTTCAGGTAATGGCTCCAAGATGCTTATCATATATAATGGGGATATTATTGACTGGATAATACTGAATGTGTCTGACAAGGACGTGCACTGATCAAAACCTAGCTTCAGGTAATGGCTCCAAGATGCTTATCATATATAATGGGGATATTATTGACTGTATTATACAGAATGTGTCCGACAAGAAGGATGTGCATTAAGTCAAAACAAAGCTATGGTTAATGTGTCATGCTGCTGGTCTTCAGATAATGGGATATTATGGACTGGATACACAGGAGGTATCCCACAAGGAGACATGTGTGAGAGCGTTCCGGTGCTCTGGTGCACGGTTCTGGCCTTGTACACGCTCCCCTCACTTTTGCCAGCTAACTCCCTTCATACCGGAACAACAGAACTCATCATCGTATCACTGTGATGTCACTGACCTCTAATGCCATATATTGGAACTTTTCTAAATTGAACCTCACTCTTTCATCATCATCTTCATCACCATACAAATGCAGTCGAGTAAATGTCGAAATTACAAATTTAATTTAATTATCAAATCCTCACTTCTAACACAATATATTTAGCTACTATATAACAGATCATTTCTTCCAAAATGTATGGACGATAATACAGAGACTAAATCGCGTAGTTAGTCCATATCGATGCCTCTGACTTAATGTTATCGTGGAACACGAAATTGTTTGCTTGATTATATGTACTGTTTGTGTAGACTATATATTAGTTAGTAACATTATTCATATTTATATTTTATTTATATCATATTTATATTATATTTATATCATTTTTAACCCTCATGCTTCATAAATACCATCCTAACCCTGCATGCTTTTTGTGTGTTTAGTCCACGGAGTGGTTGTCTTGCTTTGTAGTGTTGTTGAATTGTCAATATATATCTTCTTTATTAAGCATTTAGAAGTTTTTACCGATAATGATGAAGGGACAAGAAGTAGCCCTGAAATGTTGCCTATGTATAATGTAGAAGCTGTTATCCACAACACTACTTCTAATGAAATATCTTCAGTTAAAATATCTTAACTTCATGTTATAATATAATCAAAATGACATTCTGAATTTTTATGATGGTAATACTTGTGAATGACAATGTGATTGATAAACTGTATGGCTAATATCTGTCATGTTAATACATACAAGTGATGGTTAAAGGGAGGTAAGTATGAAAAACAGTTCTGGTGATAACCTTAGTGTGTGACAATTGTTATATACTTTCTTAGTGAAATACAAATTGTAGTACTTTTTTTTGGTTGAGTCCCATCCGGGATTCGGACCCACACTCCCAGGTGCCCACACTCTCCCCAATGAGGTGCCTCACTGAGAGTGTGGGTTCGAATCCCGGACGAGACTCACCCCCAAAAGTACTAGAATTTGTATATTACTAAGAAAGTGTTATCCCAAATACAGTCAAGTCTCGTTAATCCGACACTCAGCTTTATCCGACACAAATGATGGGAACCGATTGATTCAGCGCTAGTTAGTCCCGTTAATCCGACATTCTCGCACTCCGACTCCGACACACCTAATTTGCAACGAATTACCGAAATCACTCATTAATCAGTCTCGTTAATCCGACACAGTGGTCAGCGTACTCCGTGGTCATCTGCCCGCGAGTACACAACCCCGTGTTTTGACACGCACTGAGATTAACTTTAACAATTAACACTAGATGCCGGGATCATAAAGAATTTCAAGCTTTATTATAAGAAACAAATGAAATTACACCTCGACAATGTTGATGCTGAAGAACCACCAGCCCTAGACGTCAAGCGAACAGGGGACTTTGAGAAATGTGCCTTCAAATTGTGAGAAACAGAAAACACTGACAGACTATTTTAAGTAGATGAAGCAAGTTGTTAAGACAGTAGCACTTGCATTTACACGAGGAAACACACGGTTATTATCTATCGTGAAGATGTCCGAAATCACAAATCACTTAATTTCGTTAATCCGACATACTCGTTAATCCGACACAATCATGTGCAACCAACGATGTCGGATTAACGAGACTTGACTGTATAACATTTGTTACATTTGACCACTTTCTAAATGGCATTGTGTATTCATAACCTTAGTATGGTCACACAAGTAATATATTTATGGGTGTGTATTTGTCATAAACAAAATTAGGTGTTCTTTAGCTTCTTTTGAGTAGTATATTATTGTTGCTGGCATGACAGAAGGCTTAATGGGTATGAAGCATGTCTCTGTGGTCCCTTGTATCTTATCAGTTTCAATAGTCACACATCTCATCCATGAAGAGTTCCATATTGTAAGCCTGGATTTCATTTTAACAAAATTTCCTGTTTGCACTGCATGATTTAGTTTGGCCAGGTTGATCGCTCTTTTCGATATGGCTATCAAACACTTGGGGCTGATTGATCCCTCTCTGGGGTATGGCTGACAGTCTTCTTTAGGTATATACTAACTCACACACTCGGGGCTGATCGATCCCTCTCTGGGAAATGGACACCCCATGGATGTACTGCAGTAGGTGGGACACCTCTTTCACCTCTCTCCCCCCCCCCCCCCCCCCCCAAAAAAAAAACCTTGAGGCTTAATGTGGCTTACAACCTTGAGGGTTAATGTGACTTACAACCTTGAGGGTTAATGTGGCTTACGACATTGATGGTTAAAGTGGCTTACGACATTGATGGTTAAAGTGGCTTACGACATTGATGGTTAATGTGGCTTACAACATTGAGGGTTAATGTGGCTTACAACATTGAGGGTTAATGTGGCTTACAACCTTGAGGGTTAATGTAGCTTACAACATTGAGGGTTAAGGGCTTACAACCTAGAGGGCTGATGTGGCTTATATGGTGTCAGGTAGGTGTATGGTGTACATGCACCAAATCTGTTTGGGAAGTGTGGTTTGCATGTGATTGTGATCACACCTTGTCCTGTGTGTGTACTAGAAGTGAGACCGGATGACTTCATATTAGTGGGCAGACTTGGAGCAGAGCTGAGCATGTGTTGCCAATAGCAACTTGTTTGTCATTTCAGGCTAAGCAGCTGGAGCTACTGGACATCAACCATTTCCTCGAGGAGCCACTGACACATGACTTGATAAAACATTTCAAGGAACAGCACCCTGGGTAGAGACACCATCGCCGTTGCAACTTCCATGGACAACTTAGATGATGTGATAGCTTATTCATGCACAAACTCCAGACAGTGATACCATCACTGCTGCAACATCAAGGACATCCATGATCGTGTTTAGTTGAGGCAGTGATACACTGGCTCAGGTATGCCAAGAACAGACACTCGGAGCTGTCTGAATGTAGTGTGTCTTTCCATAGCTGTAGATGTCAATCCGAGAGTGAGATTGCCGACGCGAAAAACTGTTGGATCACCGGGGAGGCTTGTGTGAGCGCTTTGTCTGCAGGAATGGCCCATGTGATTGCTGTGTCTACAATGATGGCCTGTGTGCACGCTTTGTCTGCAGGGATGATCAGTTTGTCACACAAGTTAAATATATGCTGTATGGAAATTGAGCTTCAAGAGACACACTTTGTTCAAACAGAGACTTCACTTCTGTCTTGTTAGTGATTGAATGTTGATTTATGCCTCAGTCAGCAATACTCATCTGTGTCATGGCAGCCTGTTGTATTGGCAAGTCTGGGCCAAGCAAACCTGTGGCTGACAGCATGCTCCCCACTTAGGGCACAATGACACACAGCCAGCCAGTCAGATTCCTTTGCAAGGACCCATATTGGGCAACAATGCAAAATTGCAGACCCGTTCTGCACGGAATCCCCAGACGAATTTGAAATCACGTGATATAGAGTGAACTGCCAGGGTTCTTTGTTGTCCAATTTTGATATTGACATGCTCTTGTTATAGTTCCATGTTGTAGGGATGCAAGTCGGTGTTATACGTAACTGAGTACACTTCACTGTTGAGTGATCTTTATCTTGATGCTTGTGTAATTCAGTGTTGCTCTCAGTCATGTACAAGATGTTCCCACTTGTGTTAGCCAATTGCTGAGACTTGTGTATAAATATTGTTTCTTTGTTCTATGTGCAATCATTAAAGCCTTTGTTTCATTATGTTTGGTTGGCTCTATTTATGATCTGAGAAAATGATTTTGCAATCCACGAGATCACAATGGCGTGGGAATAACTGCAGTGGTCAAGACAAACCAGTTGTTGATCAATGTCAGACATCTTCGTCCAGCACGGCATGGATACAATAACACAATCAACAACAAAGCATGACCGTCTGCTTTCCAGTTGCTCTTTAAAGTGAGTGAGATGAGTTTAACACTGCACAGTGTTAGGGAATTGAACCCAGGGCCCACTTGCACAAAACAATCTTAGCGCTAAGACTATTGTAAGCCTATGTTAAAGTATGGGAGTTACGATCATCTTAGCGCTAAGATCGCTTTGTGCAAGGGGGCCCTGGTCTTTTGTGAAGCTAGCGAACACTTTAACCACTAGCATGAACACATTGCGTCAACCCGATCCTTGCTTCAGCAGCAGGAAACATATCAACTAAAGCAAGAATAAAAAGAGCTGTCACAGAAAATAAGGCTATTTATTTGTAGAAAATATTTATTCAAAAAAAAAAAAAAAAAAGTCAAAGTTTCCAATACTGGATTAATAGCAATCCAGCATAACAAAACTGGAAAAAAATAATAACTTCACACCTTTTGTGCAGCAGAAAAATAATGATGGTATAAGTGTACTCTGTCAAATGTTTGGCCCACACTGTATTGGAGGAAGGCCCCACAGTACATTTACCCTCAACATCCTGAACCAGCTTGGTATTTCATTAACGAACAACCACAACACTCGGAGAAAGAGAAGCCTACTTCTTGAAGCAATCGTTTGATCTTATGACAATCTCAGCATGATTAAATATGAATCTCTTGGCTATGAAATGAGCTTTGACTAGGTGGGTTAATCTTGTGCCTGAGCGCAATCATCCCTGATTATCCATGGTGTTATAATAAATACCCCTATACCCATTCAACAGTAAAGCTTCGTTTCACATCTCAATTTCTCTATCATTTGTGATATCATTGAATGACTCTTTGGTCCTTCCATCTGAATTGGGCTTGAGAAGAAGCTACTGAAGTGAAAGGGTCCCAGGTTGTATGATGCACATGATACCCTGGACAATCGTGTGATCGCCCACCTTCAGCTTGGAGTGTAAAGCTCCTACTCCTGCAACTGACTGAAGACAGGGCTTTGAGACAGTAACTGGCAACTTTTATCCAACTTCATAAACAAAGTAACCCACACGAGGCTCAATACATGAAAGTCAATGGAAGGTGAGATAATAGTCCGCTATTCTCGTGTCGGACACCTCAGCTACCTATCAATTTGATGACCATGAAAACAAGATGGTTTTAACATTACCTGATTTTCACAACATGTTCAAATTACATTCAATTTTTCAGATGAGAAACAAACTCAGAGAATGTTTTTGATTCGGACAGTCTTACATCATGATGTGTTAACTTATTGTGGAAGGAAAGCCAGGCTGGATGAAAGTACAATTTTTGAGACACCCATGAACTGACAAAGATGCACTATCAGCACAAATCTGGAATTCAAACCCAATATCATAACATCCTGGCACAACTAGGGGAGACAATCATGCAGCTCATGTTGCTGTTCCAGAGGCTGATTGCACTGGTAGCCGACTCCGCTAAATGCACGGTGTATTGGTAGTCATGGAGACACACATTCAAAAACTAATTCTGTCACTGATATTGAAATGGTGGTACTCTCATTCAGATTAGAAGTAGTCTGGCTGGATGAATACACATTGAAGACTTGAAGCATTACTACTGCATCGTCGATCCACCATCAATATAACTGACCAACATAAGGTCTAAATATTTATTTCTAATACTGGTCAAAATGCATCCATTCACAGCAAACAACTCTAATGTACTCATGCTAACTGATACACACTACATACACATCTATCCGAACACACTTTACAGATATGTTCTTACACAACATTCAGGGACTGGTAATTTATTATAGGGGCGAAGGGGAATGTCATATGATCGTCCAAAGACCAATCACACACGCCTATATTAAACTAATAGTCCCCTGACTGAAGCCACTGTAAATTAAACTGTCGACTGTTAGCAGATCTTTAACAAAATACAAAACTACAAGTTCATCCGACAGACACCCTATGAACAGCCACTCATCAAATGCCGATCTTCAGTACAAAGAAACAAACTCCAACAAAGCAATGTCAACTCACAACTGTGTTGTATAACGTAACACCTGAATAACTTACAAACTGGCAATAAATACTCCATCTGTACATTTTGGTTTTGTTCAATATTTACATCTCCAAGAATAGACATGACATAAGTAGGTACCACTGATCTAACAACAAAACTTTCAAAGCATATACAAACAATTTCAGTTCAAGCCATTTGGATACAGAAGTCGTGAAGTTATACTTCTCAAAATCTTCAAACAGTATAAAACATCTCTTGAGGAATACCTCGGAACAGTCTTTGCACATGCGGCTCGGCATGCTGTGTTCTGTCAAATGTCCATTGTCTCTCTGTTGGGGACGAGACACCAGACCATGTAGCATCACGGATGTTAAAGCCACTTTGCAATGCCAAACTACACACTAAACCCAAAGTATCTGGGTCCATCTGTACGAAATGGGTTTAGTGTTATGACCATCTGGAATGAGTTGTGGCACCAGCAGTATGAGTTGTACATACCACTAGTGTGAATACTTTGCTGATGACACAATGATTTATCATTTTTTACAACCTAAAAATATTTTCGGTGAAATATTTGTTTGTGACAATTATCTTTTGACTTAGTAATGTTAACACGCACCACTGTCATGCAAGATTAAAAATCCCATGACCAATTCCCATCAAACGCCAACAGTCATAACCAAATGGCCACCGGCCAATTCAAGAGATGGACAAGTAACTTCAACATTTTGTATAAATAAGTCCTGAGATATCTGGTCAAACATATGGATCCGTTTGTTGATCACGAAATATGATCAATCTAAATGAGCCAGATGAGCTTGTCTGAACACATGAGTTGTCCCACGAGATCTGGTATTCTTCAACCAACATTGGACAGCGCCACCTGTCCTTTACCGCCCTTGTCTACAGCGCCATCTGGTGGGTGTCTACGTCTCCATGTTGGCCAGGATGCGGGAGATCTCTGCGCGCTGAGACTGTGTCATGTGCTGTGTGATGTGCACGATGGAGTCCATGGCCACCTCCGGGTTGTCCTGGATCAAGCTGTATGAGACACAACAGTGTACAGTGATACACGTTTCAGAAAGCCAAGTTGAATCCATTATATTACATAGACTCAGTAACATTTTGTACCATCATGTTCTAAAAATTTGGCAAACCGTCATTTCAAGCTGCTGGACCATCAATTTGGAACAAACTCCCACCTGATGTAAGATAAACAGTTGAACTATGTTCTATCAAATCCAGATTAAAGACACATTCATTGAGCCTTCATCACATACCGTATTCGACGTAATAAGCGCCCCGCTCTAATAAGCGCCCATGGCGACTTTTGCAAAAATATTAGCCAGTGAACAATCCCAATAAGCACCCCTTCCGATTGATCAATGTACACAAGACTTATTTATGCGCGTATAGAACGCACTCGTGTGTTATATGCACCCTTAATTATGGGCAATTAAATTCTGGAAAAACACTATCTTTCTGTCGTACACAAACATTTCAGGCTGTCAGCATAAACCATGAAATTTATGTTTCAACTCTGTTTTTTTCACCAAAATAATATTCTTATAATAGCCCCCTATTTCTAACTTTGAGAGCGCCCAGGGCACTTATTACGTCGAATACGGTAAGTGTTTTTCAGATGTGTTGACTTTGAGCAGTTTAATGCAACTTGATACTAGTGCTATATAAATCCATATATGTATGCATACATGTTTTAGTTTGTTGTCTGTTGCAATATTCCAGCTTCATGATGCTGGCCAATAAATAATCCAGTGATTGATATTAAGAGCAACAATACATGCACTCAATTAACTGAGCAAGTCACAGAGTCTGAGAAACTCTGCTGGAAACCTAACTTGTAACACAACGGGCTAAGCATGTTTGTTGTTTAACACCGCATTCAGCAATATTCAAGCTATATGATGGCAGTCTGTCAATAATCGAGTCTGGACCAGACAATCCAGTGATTGAGATCATGAGCATCAATCAACGCAATTGAAATACAATGACATGAATCAACCAAGTCAGCGAGCCTGACCACCAGATCCCTTCAGTTGCCTCTTTCGACAAAGGAGGTCGCCTTTTACGGCAAGAATGGGTCGCTGAAAATGTATTCTAACACGGATCTTCATGGGTTACACAGCGTAACACAGTGTGGACTGACCTCCTGACTTGCTGCAACACATGGTCTCTCTGTATACAGCGGATGTTCTCCAGCACGGTGTTCTTCTCCTGGTTCTCGTCCAGCTGGTCCACCAGCCACCCCACGGCCGCCTTGTCGTCCTCGTACAGATAGGCCTGCCAACACAACAAGCAGAACACTTAGACACAAGATTCTTCTGGTCAGCACACCTGCTGCTGGGTAGTAGTTGACCGGTGAGATCTGGCCACTTCCTTCCAACACCAGATACTGACTGCTAAAGTGATGTGATGTGAAATGGGGCTTACTGTTATATTCAAGATTGTTTCACTTATACAGCGACTTGCATGCACATGTGTATATGTCTGCTTGTCTGGGAAACCACTAACAAGCTTGGGGGACATATTTTAAGCCCAGAGGCCTATTCTAAGCCCGGGGGGCCTATTCTTAACCTGGGGTACCTATTCTAAGCTCAGGGGGAACCTATTCTAAGCTTGGGGATTTAAGCAAGGGGATCTACTCTAAGCCTTGGGACTAGGGCTGGGACAGGTAACTCGGGTACTCGGGTTGGGTAGGCCCTGAGCAGGACTCAGGTATCCACAGGACTACCCGGACCATGGTTAGTCACATGATATATTGTTTAATGACAAAAAGTATCTAAAACTCCCACAATAAGTCACTAATGATCTCATTTCTTTCTGACAATGCACCCATTCCTTCTGCCTTTAATATGTTTGAATAAAGATAAAACTTCATGCAGTAAACTTCAGTGTATGCAAGACCAGATCGTTTTACACATGTATCTAAATACATTTTGTCAGGGCTACGGTCAAACATGTCCAAATCGACAGTTTGTACCCATCTCTAAATATCTACAGCGGGTACCCGGGTAGGGTCGGGTAATAGGGTGGTGGGTACCCGGGTAGTAAATTTGGACTCGTCCCAACCCTACTTGGGACACAAGTCCAGGGATTTATTCAAAGCCCATTGGACCAATTCTAAGCTCGGTGACTAAGCCCGGGGACATATTCTAAGCTGTGGGATTATCCCAAGTCTTGGGGACCTATCCTAGCCCGGTCCACAGAGGGCTACATCTTGACAGAGCTACTTACATTGACTGCGCCCTGGTCCTCCACAAACCACCTTCCCAGCATGGAGTCCAGCTGGGCTTCACTTGAGTCCTTGGTGAACAGCCGCATCTTCTTCTTCACCTCGTTCTCCAGGAGACGGCGCCGCAGTCGCCAGTAGAAGAACTCCCTACTCCGCTCCCACTTGAGGATAGCCTGCAGTAGAGATTGAAACATACTCATTAAGATCGGAATAGTGATAGCCGCAGAAGGATTGGTGCACCACTGCTGTCCTTGAAAACCACAATTTGTTGAATGACGTCAACTATCTTCAGCTGTGCCATCATTTCTAATGTGACTTCAATCCGACCTTACGTCACAATAACATTCAAATGACTTCAACAATGCTGTCCAGATGACGGAAACAAAAAACTGGTGCATGAGAAGTGATATTTATTACCTCGGTTATTTCTAACCCTATGTGTAATATCTTCTTTTATTGAGTATGAGACAACAATTTCTGCACAACTAACCGAGATTACTCCCTTCTCCTCCATACGCCCGGGGGTGTCGTGGAGGTCTGCGAACTGCACAGCGACTGTGTGGTAGATGGAGAGCAGACTGTCCTCCCTCTTGGCCAGGTCGCCCTCCAGCTCCGTCTTCTTCTCCTCGGCCAGGTCGGGGTCCCCAAGGTCCTCCACCAGCTGCCGTACCACCGGGTCCAGGCGCCGGATCGCCTTCTCCAGGTCCTTCCGCCGGAACTTGATCTCCACTGTGCCCTCAGGCTCCAACACCCCTCCTCTACAAGAAGCCACAAATATATTTGTTTTTGTTTGTTTGTTCTTTCACGTCACAACACAATATTCCAGCTGTACAATGGTGGCCATATTAATTAAGCCAGGACCAGACAATCCAGTGATTGATATAATGAGCACTGTCTGGGAACGATGAGTGAGTGAGTGAGTTGGGTTGGGAATGATGACATAAATCTACCAAATCCTTAAGTTCAATTCATTAAGTTGACAATCATAGGATGGTGGGGACCATTTCTATCCTGGAATCCCAACAGGGAACAAACGTGATCAAGAAGGCATCAGAAGGCCATTACAATAATTAATATTTCTGACCACCTTCTACTCTGCTTAGAGTGAAGAAGTGGGATTTTACCCTGTGCCAATATTTCAGCTCTCTCTCGAGTGAGTGTGCCTGTGCCTTAGCGTGTGCGTGTGTGTGTGCCTGTGTGTGTGCGAGCTAATGCTGAAAACTGACTCTGAGCCGACCAGTCCTTGTTTTAGCCCCTTAATGCCGAGAGCCAGGCAGGGTAACAACAAGTACCATCTTTTAACGTCTTTTGGATTGACATGGTCGGGGATCGAACCCCAGACCTTCTGCTCCCCGGGCAGACACTCTATCCACTAGACCACGGAGGCGGTTCCAGTCATGTGAGTGTGGACACCATGTCATTCCTACATTGCACCTATGTGTCCAATACATCAATCTTGCACGGGTCTTCAGTGTGACGAGCCAATGCTTTAACCACCAGGCTACCCTACTGCTGCTACTCTGCTGTGATGTACCTGCACAGTTGGTCTGCAAACATCTCCATGTGGGTGGGGTTGATGGTGGGGTCGACCACCACCCATGCCCCGCCCCTCAGCTCGGCATAGGGAGGGATGTAGATCAGGATAGGTTGCTTGTAGTCCACCAGAGCATCCACAATGTAAGATCCAAACTTAAGGACTTGGTCATACATGTCTGCAATCAGAAATATGGGTCTTTACTTAATAGTTTGTTAATTTGTTTGTCATTTACGCCACAATGTTACAGCCATATAACGGCGGTCTGTAAATAATTGAGCATTGATCTACATAAATGGGATGCAATGACATGCATCAACCAAGTCAGTGAGCCTGACCAACCGATCCCGTTAGTCGCTCCTGAAGAAATAATAATAAGTGCGTTTAAAATGTGCCAGATTCCATTCACCGAGTGGATGCTCATAGCGCTACACTATTATTACCCCGGTCAATGGATCAGTGAGCACTCGATTTTCATTCTCAGCTCCCTGGGCAGTATACAACCAAAGCTGCCTGTGAGTAGCTAGAAGGTTAACAGCCACATTACCATCACATGCTACCAGGTACCCATTCACTGCTGGGTGAACAGAAGCACATTTCGAACAAAGTCACTTGCCCAAGGAGACACTACATGTGGTTCATGTGCTTCAGTGTGGGGCAGGACCGAAGCCCTAGAAACTCTCAGGAGTCAAGCTGCTGAACGTGGTCACCCATCCAACTACTCTCCGAGACCGATGTTGCTTAACTTCACCTGATTTGGGACCAATTATAACCTGGATCTTCACCAGGGCTTTACTTGAATATCACTGACATGTATTGCCATTAACAGTTCAACATCATGTACAAATAGTTCATCGTTTTCATCCACCTTTTACCATGATCAGTTCATTATGGGGATCACCAAGACAACAATTAGTCATCAGACTACCCAACAGCCCAACACTGATGTTATAAGCAATGTCAACTAGCCTGAACCTGATCCACTGAGCTGATCAATATGAATAATAGGACTCATGAGTGAGTGAGTTGGGTTTAACGCTGCTTTTAACAGTATTCCAGTTATATCACGGCGTGTCAGCTTAATGTGGAACGAAAGCCCGAAGTGATGCAGGTCTTAGACGTTTACCACTTCGGTGAAACCCACAAGCACAGGTAGGGGGCTGACAAACCTAGAAACATTATCGGGGCGAACGAGGATTCGGACCCACAATCATAGATTTTTGGCGTGCCCATGGGACACAACTCTGCACAGTGAATAGCTGCGCCTAAGATGACTAGGCCAGCCATGCCCCCGGACTCATCACGACTTCTTCTGCCACCAACAAGTAGGCATCTTTTGGAAGCAATGACCTTTATCTCCATGAAGTCCATCAGTCTGATCGCTATTACAGCAGCATCTCACCTTTCATGCCCCCCGAGAATCCTCTCCAGTTGGCAAAGATGATGAGAGGCAGCTCCTCACGGTTGAAGTCCTTGATGGCCTGGGCTGTCTTGAAGGCAGAGTCGGGGAACCACACCTGCCCGGCTTGCTGTGTCGCCTGCAACGGGGAATATTGGCGTGAAGTTGGTGGCAGAGGATGAGATGGGATGTGATGGGACAGGACGGGATGGGATGGGACTGGACAAAGGAGGTGTGACAGGGTGGGATGGGACGGGATGGGACAGGACAAAGGAGGTGGGACAGGGTGGGATGGGACGGGATGGGACTGGACAAAGGAGGTAGGACAGGGTGGGATGGGACGGGATGGGACAGGACAAAGGAGGTGTGACAGGGTGGGATGGGACGGGATGGGACAGAACAAAGGAGGTGGGACAGGGTGGGATGGGACAGGACGGGACGGGACGGGCCAGGACAAAGGAGGTGTGACAGGGTGGGATGGGACGGGACGGGCCAGGACAAAGGAGGTGGGACAGGGTGGGATGGGACAGGACGGGACGGGACAGGGCGGGACAGGGCGGGATGGGACGGGACAGGACAGGACGGGACAGGACAAGGGGGATGGGACAGGACTGGGAACCACACCTGGCTTGCTTGCTGTGTCTCTGACAGGACAGAACTGACTAGCTTGAGTTGAGGTTAATTCTGCTTTAAACAGTACTTCAGTCATGTCATGGTGTCAGTTTAATGTGGGAGGAAAGACTAAATTGATACAAACCGTAAATGTGCTCCAGTTTTGTTAAACTCTCACATGTGTATTGTGCTGACAAACCAAGAATCACACTATGAAGTTACGAAAACAGGATCCAAAGTCATGAACAATGGATCCATGCCACCTCATGGACACAAAGCAAACTCCATCACTAATTAGTCGACCTGTGCCCACCAGCCTACATGGAACTTGCAAATGTTCAATCAATGAATTTATTCAAAATTTTAGGCCTCAGACCTTTATGTACGACGTTAATGTTATTGAGCAGCGCTTAGTGTAGACATGACATGCAAGTGTACATTGCTGGTGCACAAGCACTACACAAGATGAAAGCTGAGTGTTGTTTGTGAGTGTGTCGTACCTTCGATTCGGAGTCGATGTTGGCCGGGTCGGCTGGGACGACGACCTCCACAGACCGAGTCTCCACACTCACGACACCCAGGGGTATACCGCCCAGTCTGACGGAACACACAACATAAACACATATCCATCACCAGTACCTGAACAATGTTACCCAGGGGTATACCTCCCAGTCTGACGGAACACACAACATAAACACATATCATGACACCCAGGGGTATACCGCCCAGTCTGATGGAACACACAACATAAACACATATCTAGTCTGTCTTACAGACCCTGATACAAATATATATCAAATACAGCCCATGCAAGTCTATAATGTTTGGCAAGTCTAGATCACTGCAGTATCTGAAAATGAAGAGAGTCACTGGGCTCCTTTTTATTATATTTTTATTAAGATAACTGAACAACTGTTTTTTTATGTAAGATGTGTTCATTTCAGAGACTAGATGTTAGTCTAACACATATCCATCACCAGTACCTGAACAATGTTATGACTAAACTGACATATTTTCTAGTATATCATGGGTACAATTTTCAGGAAAAATTGCTATTTTGTATATCGCCGGATCATAGATTTTTGGACATCCTACATTTTTATACAGCTATGTTTATTGTGATCACTCGCCCCATAATGGAGGATGTAGCATCACACAGATATTGTACATGCTCAGATGATGGATTGTTTTTAATGAAAGTTGTCTTTTATAAATGAATAAGATGTTTTACAGTTGTTGTTCATGTGATTAGAGAGAAAACTATGAATGTTTTTTAAGCATCCAAAAATCCGAAAAACGATATCATATCACAGGTGAACAAAGAGGACGTAACAAACTTGAAACAAACATGAAATTTGGAATAAAACATTACCAGACATGATGATTTACAACTGCAATCTTGTTTCTTTATGCGAGGCATTATTTCATTGAAATTTCTGCCTGTAACTGTCTTGTATTTGTTTGTTTGTTTGTTGTTTAACGCTGCATTCACAATTTTCCAGCTATAAGATGGCATTCTGTAAATAATTGAATCTGGATGATACGATCCAGTGATTGATGTCATGAGCATCTAGCCACGGAATTGGGGTATGATGACATGCATCAGACAAGTCAGCGAGTCTGACCACCCGTTCCCGTTAGTCGCCTCTTACAACAAACATAGTCGCCTCCTACGGCAAAATGGGTTGCCAAAGACCTATTCTACCCCGGATCTTCACCGGGCTTAACTGTCTTGTAAAATAAGCCCGAAATAGCAATCAGGTGTATACACCGTGCACTCATTGGAATATCTGTAATCAAGACAGTCATAACCTGTGGAGTATGAGGCATACTGACAGTAGTATGTGCCTCCATTCCCTATACCTCTACATGAATTGGTAATTACTGACATGTTCTGCACACTTAGCACAAAATACCAAGTATTAGTCTTGATGACTACCTGATAATTACAAGTGTTTGCCTACAATAGTGACTACATGCCTGACCAGTTGTCTGAGAAACATGAAGACAATTATTTACCTTGCTCTGCCAACAACAACTGTTTGAGCCCATGGGTTGAGGATCTCCATGAAGGAATCCTTGTCGAAGAAGCCGCTCTGCCACTCGCGACTCTCTACAAAAGAAAACTCTACATTAAACACTGAGCTGAGTATCGACTGGTATCTTGCGACACCATTCCATACGGACTGACGATAACATGTGGTCAGAACACACCCTGCTACAGTGAGTGAGTGGTTGAGTGAGTGGTTGAGTGAGTGAGTGGTTGAGTGGTTGAGTGGTTGAGTGGTTGCACCGATGTAGGCAATTGAACCCGGGTCTTCGGCGGGACAAGCAAACACTTTAACCACTAGGCTACCCCACCACCTGTTTGGGTGAGGGACTTAAAATTTACCATGGTCAGCAACATGGTGACAAGTGATATCAGTGAGCATTGTACTCATTGTAGGAATATTGCTGCAGTATCATGGCTGAGGACACTAACATTGCGATAACGCATGTGGGGAACCAAACCCAAGAATCAAACACATTACCCACTCGTCTACAAGTACCAAACTCAGGTAACACTACAAACAGTTGATAGCAAGGTGAGAGATGCCTCATTACCTGGATTCATCCTCCCCGACAGCATCCAGCGTACGTCATACGGAGCCTTGGTGGGCACAAAATCCACGTCTCTGTCTACTCGGTCGTAGGAAGGGATTATTGGGAGAGGGCCATTCTTTTTCTATACACAGAAGATATAACACTATAAGGTAAAGCAGCCAAGGCCAACATGCCAACATCAATGAGCAAAGTAGTGCAAGAGCTCTTTTGTTGGTTGTTTAACACCACACTCCAGCTGTATGATGGCGGTCTGTAGATTATCAAGTGTGGACCAGACAATCAAGTGATTCACATCATGAATTTTGATCTACGCAATTGGGATACGATGACATGTTCAACCATGTCAATGAGTCTGACGTCTGATTTAGTTTAGCAATAGCGTGTTTGGGATCTATTCTAGGCCAGTTCAACATGGAAAATCAGATATATGAAACAAGAACTTTACATGTCTTCTAGGCCCAGAAGTAAGCAATCATTACTAAACACTGTAGAGTGAGCAATATTCCAGCAAGATCACAGCGGGGAACACCAGAAATGGGCTTCACACATCGTACCCATGTCGGGAATCAAACCCGGGTCTTTAGCGTGACTAGCAAACGCTTTAACCACTAGGCTACCCACCTGCCCCCTAAACAGTGTAGAACATTTCAAGATGGCCACTAAATAACACTGTACGACACAGCCAAAAGGCCTCTAACAAAACACTGTAGGACATACCAAGGACACACAGCTAAGATGGCCACTAACTAACATTGTAGAACATACCAAAGGCATGTAGGAGAGCCACTGGAGAATCATACAGCATCCCTCAAAGTCGTCGGGCACCACATCGTGGGAGACGCCGTTGTTGTGCATGATCTGGATGCCACCGAGCTGGTTGTTGCTTGTGTACACCTCCCGCCCCAGCACCTGGCACAGGAAACAAGTTGTACTCTCACTGCCAATGTCACACCGTTATGCTTGCTTGTTATCACGCTAAAGTAGGAAATCGGTCAACAATTAATTTGTGTTCACCATCTCCTGTGCACAGTCTACCTTATTGAGTGCCCCAGCTTCAGCCTACTTATTGAGTGCCCCAGCTTTAGCCTACTTATTGAGTGCCACAGCTTCAGCCTACTTATTGAGTGCCCCAGCTTCAGCCTACCTTATTGAGTGCCCCAGCTGCAGCCTACTTATTGAGTGCCCCATCTCCTGTGCGCAGTCTACCTTATTGAGTGCCCCAGCTTCAGCCTACTTATTGAGTGCCACAGCTTCAGCCTACTTATTGAGTGCCACAGCTTCAGCCTACTTATTGAGTGCCCCAGCTTCAGCTTACTAATTGAGTGCCACAGCTTCAGCCTACTTATTGAGTGCCCCAGCTTCAGCCTACTTATTGAGTACCCCAGCTTCAGCCTACTTATTGAGTGCCCCAGCTTCAGCCTACTTATTGAGTGCCCCAGCTTCAGCCTACTAATTGAGTGCCACAGCTTCAGCCTACTTATTGAGTGCCCCAGCTTCAGACTACCTTATTGAGTGCCCCAGTTTCAGACTACCTAATTGAGTGCCCCAGCTTCAGACTACCTTATTGAGTGCCCCAGCTTCAGACTACTAATTGAGTTCCACAGCTTCAGTCTACCTTATTGAGTGCCCCAGCTTCAGCCTACCTTATTGAGTGCCCCAGCTTCAGCCTACTTATTGAGTGCCACAGCTTCAGCCTACTTATTGAGTGCCCCAGCTTCAGCCTACTTATTGAGTGCCCCAGCTTCAGCCTACTTATTGAGTGCCACAGCTTCAGCCTTCTTATTGAGTGCCCCAGCTTCAGCCTACTAATTGAGTGCCACAGCTTCAGCCTACCTTATTGAGTGCCCCAGCTTCAGACTACCTTATTGAGTGCCCCAGTTTCAGACTACCTAATTGAGTGCCCCAGCTTCAGCCTACTTATTGAGTGCCCCAGCTTCAGCCTACTTATTGAGTGCCCCAGCTTCAGCCTACTTATTGAGTGCCACAGCTTCAGCCTACTTATTGAGTGCCCAAGCTTCAGCCTACTTATTGAGTGCCCCAGCTTCAGCCTACTTATTGAGTGCCACAGCTTCAGCCTACTTATTGAGTGCCCCAGCTTCAGCCTACTAATTGAGTGCCACAGCTTCAGCCTACCTTATTGAGTGCCCCAGCTTCAGCCTACCTTATTGAGTGCCCCAGCTTCAGCCTACTTATTGAGTGCCCCAGATTCAGCCTACCTTATTGAGTGCCCCAGCTTCAGCCTACTAATTGAGTGCCACAGCTTCAGTCTACCTTATTGAGTGCCCCTGCTCCAGCCTACCTTATTGAGTGCCCCATCTCCTGTGCGCAGTCTACCTTATTGAGTGCCCCAGCTTCAGCCTACTTATTGAGTGCCCCAGCTTCAGCCTACCTTATTGAGTGCCCCAGCTTCAGCCTACTTATTGAGTGCCCCAGCTTCAGCCTACCTTATTGAGTGCCCCAGCTTCAGTCTACCTTATTGAGTGCCCCAGCTTCAGTCTACCTTATTGAGTGCCACAGCTTCAGCCTACTTATTGAGTGCCCCAGCTTCAGCCTACCTTATTGAGTGCCCCAGCTTCAGTCTACCTTATTGAGTGCCCCAGCTTCAGTCTACCTTATTGAGTGCCCCAGCTTCAGTCTACCTTATTGAGTGCCACAGCTTCAGCCTACCTTATTGAGTGCCCCAGCTCCTGTGAGGATGATATGGGAGTTCTCCACTTGAATGATCCTCTGTCCGAGTCTCACCAGGTATGCGCCGATACCGATTGCTCGACACGTAACAAGGTTGATGGTGATGACCTCATTGTAGGCAGTGGATGATTCCCCAGCAATCATGCCGGATCCCCTCAGGTTCTCCACACCCAGACCATCATCCTTACCTGGGCAAACAAACACAGGTGGATCAATTACCTGGGCAAACATACACAGGTGGAACTATTACCTGGGCAAACAAACACAGGTGGATCAACTACCAGTGCAAACAAACACAGGTGGATCAATAACCAGGGCAAACAAACACAGGTGGATCAACTACCAGTGCAAACAAACACAGGTGGATCAATAACCAGGGCAAACAAATACAGGTGGATCAATTACCTGGGCAAACAAACACAGGTGGATCAATAACCTGGGCAAACAAACACAGGTGGATCAATTACCTGGGCAAACAAACACAGGTGGATCAATAACCTGGGCAAACAAACACAGGTGGATCAATAACCAGGGCAAACAAATACAGGTGGATCAATTACCAGTGCAAACAAACACAGGTGGATCAATAACCTGGGCAAACAAACACAGGTGGATCAATTACCAGTGCAAACAAACACAGGTGGATCAATTACCAGTGCAAACAAACACAGGTGGATCAATTACCAGTGCAAACAAACACAGGTGGATCAATTACCTGGGCAAACAAACACAGGTGGATCAATAACCTGGGCAAACAAACACAGGTGGATCAATAACCTGGGCAAACAAACACAGGTGGATCAATAACCTGGGCAAACAAACACAGGTGGATCAACTACCTGGCAAACAAACACAGGTGGATCAACTACCAGTGCAAACAAACACAGGTGGATCAATAACCTGGGCAAACAAACACAGGTGGATCAACTACCAGTGCAAACAAACACAGGTGGATCAATAACCTGGGCAAACAAACACAGATGGAACTATTACCTGGGCAAACAAACACAGGTGGATCAATTACCTGGGCAAACAAACACAGGTGGATCAATAACCAGGGCAAACATACACAGGTGGAACTATTACCTGGCAAACAAACACAGGTGGATCAATAACCTGGGCAAACAAACACAGGTGGATCAACTACCAGTGCAAACAAACACAGGTGGATCAATTACCTGGGCAAACATACACAGGTTGAACTATTACCTGGGCAAACAAACACAGGTGGATCAATTACCTGGGCAAACAAACACAGGTGGATCAACTACCAGTGCAAACAAACACAGGTGGATCAACTACCAGTGCAAACAAACACAGGTGGATCAACTACCTGGGCAAACAAACACAGGTGGATCAATAACCTGGGCAAACAAACACAGGTGGATCAACTACCTGGCAAACAAACACAGGTGGATCAACTACCAATGCAAACAAACACAGGTGGATCAACTACCTGGGCAAACAAACACAGGTGGAACAATTACCTGGGCAAACAAACACAGGTGGATCAACTACCAGTGCAAACAAACACAGGTGGATCAATAACCTGGGCAAACAAACACAGGTGGATCAACTACCTGGCAAACAAACACAGGTGGATCAACTACCAGTGCAAACAAACACAGGTGGATCAACTACCTGGGCAAACAAACACAGATGGAACAATAACCTGGGCAAACAAACACAGGTGGATCAACTACCTGGGCAAACAAACACAGGTGGATCAACTACCAGTGCAAACAAACACAGGTGGATCAACTACCTGGCAAACAAACACAGGTGGATCAACTACCAGTGCAAACAAACACAGGTGGATCAACTACCTGGGCAAACAAACACAGATGGAACAATAACCTGGGCAAACAAACACAGGTGGATCAACTACCTGGGCAAACAAACACAGGTGGATCAACTACCAGTGCAAACAAACACAGGTGGATCAACTACCTGGCAAACAAACACAGGTGGATCAACTACCTGGGCAAACAAACACAGGTGGATCAACTACCAGTGCAAACAAACACAGGTGGATCAACTACCAGTGCAAACAAACACAGGTGGATCAACTACCTGGGCAAACAAACACAGGTGAATCAATAACCTGGGCAAACAAACACAGGTGGATCAACTACCAGTGCAAACAAACACAGGTGGATCAACTACCTGGGCAAACAAACACAGGTGGAACAATTACCTGGGCAAAAAAACACAGGTGGAACAATTACCTGAGGAAACAAACACATACCGATGATGTCGGTGATCTTGTATCGGGATTCTCCCTGATCCTCTATGAGCTCTGCTCTCACGGAGTTCATGGCACTCACTTTCTTGAAGTCATCAGGACGCAGGTACAAATATTTGAAACCCTACACAAAAAAGTGGGTATTAAAGCCAAAATGACTCCAAAATGATGATTAAAGAGGAAGGTGCTATTAAGTCAAATGAAGAAAACCAAAAAAAAATTATTTTTTTTCTCTAATTGAAATTTCATTTTCATTTATCGATCACACAATTCGCATCATTTTAGTGCATAACATGTCAAATCTTAAATTTATTTACCATCCTTATTAACCAGTATAAAACATTAGAATTTCTATTTCTGAGTTGACACATCCCCACACACAAGCCCCAGGGGAAGTACATGTTACCCCCGTACCTTGTTGGGATCTTTTGGATCCACCCACGCCACACGGAACAGGTGCTTGATCTCCTCGGCCAGGCCAATACGAGCGCCACTGTTAGCAGACAGGTAGATGCGAGGGATGCCCATCTTTCTGGACAACTCAGATGCTTTCTGTAATGAAATAAATGTTTGTTTACGATTCAAGCTACATGACAATAGCCTGAAAATAATCAAATCTGGACCTGACAATCCAGTGATTCATATCATGACCAATGCCATCGGGGTAAGGTGACTCGCCATCCCCCCCTCAGCGAGTTTGTCCACCCAATCCATTAAGTCACCTCTTTTTAACCAATTGGCCAAAAAAAGGAATACCACAAACATGAATCTATATCTAGCCAAATTCTTCAAATTCCTGCCCTTCAATCAAGTATATCACATCTATACTTTCATCCCAAACTGATTCATGCTTTACACAAAAGTACATCACAAAACTAAAAACATTATTCTCTAAGGAGATACTGACTGATTAGAAGACAAAGAAGGCAAAGAACTTAGGTCTAACAATTGAATCATCCATCTGCATTCTGCATCTCTGGGGCAGTTGGGTAGCCTAGTGGTTTAACCCTTTGCTCGTCACGCCGAAGACCCGGGTTTGATTCCCGACATGGGTACAATGCGTGAAGCACATTTTTGGTGTCCCCTGCCGTGATATTGCTGGAATATTGCTAATAGTGGCGTAAACCCATACTCACTCACTCAATCAGCATCTCTTGGTTTTATCAGTGTGGTACCGACCTTGAACAGCACATCCTCCTGCGGACCAAACGATCCAATCTTGTGTGTCATGTCATTGGAGATGACAATAATATCACGACCTTCCTGGAACTCTGGGGTCTTCAAGGTCATCTTCCATGCCACCATACCAATCTATCGACAGCAACATCAACATCTTTATGCTCACTACATACATACATCACCTCCTAACATAGCAACAACTAATTGGATCCTAAGTTGGTTGGGGGGGGGGGGGGGGGGGGGGGGGGAGAAGAGGAGAGATTTTTTGTAATAAGATGTTGACATGACTGCTGCCAAAAGTTGGAAAAGTTTCCAAATATATATATTCACTTGTCCTAATTTCCATATTTTTAAAATGATTCTGCTTCAATCAAACCTACCATTCATGGTTCTAACAGATGAATGAGAAAATATGTCCCTACATTCTAATATTACAATGGGGAATAACTGGAAACACTTTAATGAGATAAAGAAAACAAAAAAAACATTCTAAATGGGGCAGCAGATAATAAAAGATTTTTCCCGTTTTTATCATCATTCACGTCATTCAATACCGGAACACATCATGTAGCGGTGAAAAATGCATGGTTGAAATAACCTTTATAAAGATTGATGTATTCAGTTACTGCACATTGGAAATTCTGTGAAACTCAGTGTTTTCAAGGTATCTTTCTACATCCCAGACAATAAAATGCTGTTCATGAGCCCTGATCAGGTAGTGTCCCAAACTATAAATCTACGAGCCAGAATTGGTCACTTATTTTTTGGCTTACTAGAGCAAGGGAGACAGACTGGGACTTTGTACTACAGGCTAAAGTAGTTGGTGAAGTGGAAGTTATCACTCAGTGGGCACAAGACAGCAAGCATACCTCGTTCTCCCCCGGCAGCCTCTTCTGCATGCACAGGTTGCCATGACTGTCAAGGACCAGTTCGGTCGATACGAGGGCATCGGTGGGCATGTCTCTAGGCGGCAGGTGATGGCGCTGGTAGTGCTCCTTCCACAGCTTCATCAAGGACTGTCAACAATGTCAGGAAGTGAGTCAGTTGCCACGATGTAAGTAAGTTGTCTTTAACACAGGCATGTTTGTTTGTTGTTTAACGCTGCACTCAGCAATATTCCAGCTATATGACAGCGGCCTGTAAATAATCGAGTCTGAACCAGACAGTCCAGTGACATCATAAACATCGATCTATGCAGTTGCCAGATAGCCTGACCACCCGATCCCATTAGTTGCCTCTTACGACAAGCATAGTCACCATTTAGTGCAAGCATGGGTTGCTGAAGACCTATTCTTACACAGCTATGAACAACATTTTTGTAATATCACACCGTTGAAACCTGTGAGAAATGGCAGGTACTGATCAAACCAAGAACCATTAACAGGGTGAAAGTAGGTTTCAAGCCAATGATAAGATCAGAGGATTCTTGCACGTCTAAGGGACGCAACTCTGCACAGAGAAATGCAAGTCAGTGAGTACATGTAACTCTACAGCTGCAGCTATGCAGCCTGTAAATCAAGTTTGAACCAGTCAAACCAGTGAAAACATGATACGGAGCAAGATGATCAGCCATGTCACAGAGTCCGACCATCAGATCCATTTTCTCTTTTAGTTAGGATAACACATACTGGTAAACAACAAAATTAACAAAACACTACAGATATCTCCATTTGTTTCACACATACATGTGACAGTCTTAACATGAAGATTATTTTGTGAAACAGGACATGGTCACAAATGTGACTGTCTCATCCACACTCCGACGCACTGATGACTTAGCATTACACCACTGCCACAAGCTAATTTGCCTATCACGTGCCTATCACGAAATCAGAACAGACAACTCTAATATAAGCCTTTCACAGTTTCAGTGCTCTTTAATAGTTTTTCACAATTTGAGATATGTTTATATGTTATATTTTGAACATATGTTGAACATCTAAATGTGTAGCCTTTCAAGAAATTAAGTATGTGAAAAACATACTTTATTGAATGGACTGTGTAAGATCTGACAAATCGTCACATGTCTCTAGCCGGTGGCAGAAGTACGAGGTTGACCACAATGAGCGAGTTTGGTTTTATGCCGCTTTTAGCAATATTCCAGCAATATCACGGCGGGGGGGACACCAGAAATGGGCTTCACACATTGTACCCATGTCGGGAATCGAACCCAGGTCTTCGGCGTGACGAGCGAACGCTTTAACCACTAGGCTACCCGCCCGCCCCTGACCACAATGAACTCTGGGTAGGACACTATCTGATTTTAGAGGTCTTATAAAAAACATGGTTACCAGTAAGCTATCAGGGGATACCAGAGTTCAAATGAGACTGTTGAAACCTCACCTGTCGGAACATCTCCGGGAAATCGTACACGTAGGTGGTCCCCATGGACTGGGCCTGGAAGCGCTTCAGTTGCAGGTGATCCTTGGTGAGGTAGGGGGTGCTGATGAGGAGGCCGTGGAGAGGCCCCTGCATGGCCCCGTATGCCTGGAACATCACCTGGCCTGTGCGGGGGTCCGTCACCTCACGGTACAGGCTGATGTCCAGGTAGTACCCGCTCTCATTGGTCAGGAACAGCCGGATTGGGAAACTCGTTCCATTAGTGGTCAGTCTGAAGTAGAGGTACCAGTCACAATCATGTCCAACAAAGGCTGCAGATTAAGGCACGAGCCAGAACCGATTAAATCATCTGTAATTGTTAACCGCAATTGTCCATTGTATGTGTGTTCGTGAGTGTTGACATTGAGAAATTGACATTCCTGGATACTATTCAGTATACTTCTATACAATTACAAGCAGTCATTAATTACATCATAATTGGAAATATCAGTCTTCATCATATTAATAGTATATAAACATTATTAACGAGTCTCAAATGCCTACCTGATGGTAAACTTAAGTTCTGCGTGCAGCACTCTCATCTTCAACAGCCGACTGCCATACCGCATCACCATACTCCGCACCGTCTCCTCCAACTAGGGGAGATAACTCTCGGGCATTAATACAAATCTACATAATGGCCTAACACTATTCTGTCCATAGTGACAGAGTCCACATCAGTCATACTGAGGAAAGCAAACAGTACAATTTTCTTGAAAGAAGTTGAATTGTAAGTGTTATTCTAACTTACCTTCCCTGGCTCTGTGAGTGTCAAAGTTGGTACAAAGTTGAGAAAGATGTGATTACAATCTGTCTTCTTTGACTGGAATGAGAAAAAAATATATTTCACAGCAAAATCAATATCTCAGCTCATATCATGAAAGCAATATGTCAAACAACATCATAAAAAAAAAAGTTTCAACATGAAAACATTATCTCAGCATGAAAATATTTCTCAGCAAGAAAACAATATCTCAGCATGAAAACAATATCTCAACATGGAAACAATATCCTTAAACTTTTCTCAGCGTGAAAACTGTTCTCATCCCTCCAGAATGAATAGTCACACATACTTCTCAATTGCAAGTTTTCCTAAAATAGCGAATTACAGGCAGACACATACTTTTCTTCCAAAATAACCAAACATACACACGCAACCTTCATGAGGACATTACCTGAGGATGGGAGAAAGCCACTTCTAACGAGTCCATTGCTTCCAACAGAGTTCTCTCCCCTTCATTTTGCAGGTACTCAAAAGAAGCTTCCTGTAACACAGTAAATTATTTCCAAATATTTCCCAGTTGTATCTTCACAGTAATGATGGGATACACTACTCTACATGAGACATGGAAACAGGACACCTAATTGTCATCAGAAGACAAACTGGGACATAAATAACAAAGAGGATCAATCTGCACTGAAATAGTTGTCATATAGATGTTTTCTGGTTGTTTAATGCTGCACTTAGCAATATTCCAGCTATATGATGGTAGTCTATAAATAATTGAGTCTGGACCACACAATCCAGTGATTGATATTGTGAGCAACGATCCACGCCATTGGGGTACGATGACACGCAACTAACCAAGTCATCGAGCCTGACCAACCCATCATTTGGTCGCTTCTGATGACCAGCATGGGTTGCTAGGGACCTGTACTAACCCGGAATCCCCAGGGGGTCAGAATGTCATCAACTAGTCCACACTTCAGTAATGTCTGACAGCAGGTACATGTCTCACGCTTACCTTTGTGACGAGGTCGGAATGTCTGATGATAGACCTCACAAATACCCGGTAATCTGTGACCTCTTGACCTTTGGCCACCTGTCATGTAATGAATAATTATATATATTTTGTTTTAAAATCAAAACCTGAAACTTGATGTCGGCAAAGAAAATTGTAAAGTATGTTACTTCACTTTCATAGACTCTGAAGCGTGAACATTTTTTAAGAAAACAATTTTGAAGATACCGCTTCAAGGTGGCGTAACGAAAAACAGACAAAATAACTGCTAGTCAACCAACAAACAAAATTTTAATAAGAAAAACAAAATATAAAGAACCGGACATGGACTAACTTCTTCACCTGAACAATTTGATCCAGACAATGTTTCCATGTAATATAATTAAAGGTAAATGGTTAATGATGCTGACGAGGTACCTTGGCCTTGCCCAGGTAGAGATGCATCATGTAGTTGGCAGTGGGGATGGCCTCCAGGTCAAAGTTGCGGAGTCGGTTGATCTCCAGCTGGAAGGCCAGCGCTGGTTCCAGGTGGCGGTAGATGCGATCCTCCTGGAACTGAAACCACACACATACACATCAGGGGGGGACACACACACACTGGGGAACACACATTATGAGGGAACACTAGGGGGCTGGGACGAGTCCAAATTTTCTAGGTCTCCAGGGTACAAGAGTACAAAATGTTAGATTGGGAATTGTTTTTCCGCTAAAAGTATTTTGATATACGCATAAAGCCATCTGTTCATGCATACATTGAAGTTGACTAAAACTTAATCTTTTTGAAACATATAAAAGTCAGAAGGAATGCATGCATAGTCAGAAATAAATGTGAACTCTAGTAACTTGTAGTGTAACCATGGTGTTACCATAGTGAATATTTGTTATTAAACAATATATACTGTGACTGAATACCCGAGTTACCTGTCCCAGCCCTAGTGAACACACACACGGGAGACACACAAACATTAGGACGGGGAGGATCACACACAAATAGGGGCACACACACACAAACCATTTAACAGAGCTAGGGCTGATGGTCCGAAAGGCCCAATGTATCTCATGATCAACATACCTCAAACTTGGCTCTGAAGGTGAAGTATTTGGGTATTGTCCTCTGAAACAAAACAACATCACACACATTTATGAGAATGTTTTCATTCAGTGATTTTGGCAATGTCTCCATTTAAGTCGCTTTAATGAACAGAATGAACACAGGTGAATGAAGAAATCTTTCAAAATTACACAATTACAGAAGACATATAGCTAAATTACAAATTGAACCCCTTCTTTTCCAAAAAGCCGAGCTCGTCAACTCATGCAGCGACAGGGAAACGTCATCTCTCACCTTATGCAGGACAACGAAGGTGACTCGGCGGATGCCACGATCATACATCATCTGTGCCTGGAAAATATATATCACAGAATAGGTGAGTTTGGTTCAGTTCTTGCCCTGAACAGTTACACCATACACAGCATGTCAGCTTAATATGGAGGTAAACAGAATTTCAGGGTCTTGATGGAGTAGTCTGTTCAGTGGAAAACAAAAATAAAACTATCATAAACATAAGATGAGCAAAATGTTTATCATTAAAGATTACCACAGAATGTCAACAAAAACTGCTTTGCATAAAACTGTACTGTGTATCATAATTGTGCTAAAATGTCTTTATTTTTCACTCAAAGAAGCTGAGGTTTGTAACTCTTATTGACTGAAGAGGAATAAAAATTGAATATTATTTTTCCTAACTGCAAAAAAAACTTGCAATCCGGAATTCTTTTCACGAAAGATTACCCACTGAATGTGGAGATCTGATTGGTTCACATGATCTTGATAAATTACTATGTGTGTGAAGAAAGCCACTGACCTTCTCCCGGCAGAAGAGATGGAACTGAGCTGCCAGCTCGTCGTCCTCCATCTGGGAGTGGAGGCTGATGGCCACGTTGATGATGTGGATGGGGTCGTCAACGTCCGACATACTCTGCACAACAAGCAGCACATTAACAAGTGGTTCCAGAATAAGGCACTGTTCCTCAACTGGTACAACTTCAGTTGAATATTAAATGGAGGGAAATGTTTAGCCCATTATCAAGTAGGTGGGGTGAAATGGGGTTTAACTTCCCATTCCAGATTATTGCACTTAAATAGCAACATCAGGAGTCGATTTATCTGCTGGACCGTTGGCCCATGGCCGGTTAAAATTACAAAGGGTTTGCCGAAGTGTAAAGTAGATGGCCCTTCTGGCTGGTCAAAATTTCACCCCTTCTGTTCAACTTTTATAATTGGATCTTCTCAGTAGAATGACAACCGGCCACCATTTTGTAATGTTGTTTATTTGTTTATTTGCTCATAAATCACCATGAACTGAGGCAAATGGAAGCCAAGATTTAATCTCAGAGTGTAGGAAAAACATTTAAGAGGTGAGGAGTTTAAAAAAGTCCTGTTAGGTGGCTATGCGACCTCAGGTTTGGCCACTTCGCAGCCTCTACTATTTAGTTGTAGGCCAGTTAGTTTGGAGAAAGACCAGTAACTTCTAAATGGAGCATGCCCTGCTGGCTACGTACGAATATCTTCCCCTGGACACATCCACACAGTGAAGTAGGACATATTTGCCACCATTGTGAAACCCACATGTAGGGGTATGGTACAGACAAACCAAGAATCTCAGATTCAAACCCACAACATCTTGACATGTCTAAGGGAAGCAACTCTCACAAGAAAAGGGTAATTCTACATACATGTACCGACGTGGAGTCTTCAGCATTGAGGAAGCAGTGTTCCGACAACAGAGGGCTGGCCGGGGGGGTGTCCAGGGAGAACCGCTCGATCAGCTTGTCAAAATTCCTGCAGTCACAAACATCACAATAAGTATGAACGATATACTACAAAAGTACTCTATGACAGTGATAATCTGCTGTAGTTCAGCTACTCAAAGGAAGTTGAGGGCCACCAGATTCTTAATCTGTTATGGCATGATAGACTTTTAGTGAGTGTCAATTTATTTTCTGATTATAAATTTTGGCTCTCCTTTCTCAAATACGTGAGTGAGTTGTATCACGGCGTGTCAGCTTAATGTGGAGGAAAGCCCGAAGTGATGCACGTCCCAGACGTTTACCACTTCGGTGAAACCCACGAGCACGGGTATGGTGCTGACAAACCAAGAGACATAATTGGGGCGAACCGGGATTTGAACCCACAATCATAGGTTTTTGGCGTGCCCAAGGGACACAACTCTGCACAGCGAATCGCAGCACCTTAGACAGAGGACTTGGCCACCCGTGGCCCCCTCTCAAATATGTAAACTGAAGTTTGTTTAAAAGTCTTCAAAAAGTGAACTTACTTCTGGAAATCTGAAAATGAGCTAAAGGCAGCCATGACGCCCATCCTTTGACATAAGGGGATCTCCTCCACCGGTTCATTAGCAGGGGAGACGTCCTCATCCTCACTCGGCACACGCATCAGGGAACTCTCGAAGCGGGTCACCATCAACCTGAAGTCAGGCATCTTACATCAAGGCAGGGTTGGTTTTGTTTACTGTTGTTGAATGACACAGTCAGCAGTGTTTCAGCAATATCACACAGGGCTCTTAAATAATCCAGTCTGGGCCAGACAAACTAGTGGTTGATAATAAAGTTGTTTGTTTTTTGTTGTTTAACGCTGCACTCAGCAATTTTCCAGCTATATGATGGCGGTCTGGACCAGAAAATCCAGTGATTGACATAATGAACATCGATCCACGCAATTGGGATACAATGACATGCATCAACCATTTCAGCGAGCCTGACCACCCGGTCCCGTTAGTCGCCTTTTTCAATAGGCATAGTCACCTTTTACATCAAGCATGGGTTGCTGAAGACCTATTCTATACATGCAAGTCATCGATCCTGATCACCCAATCAAGCATAGCTCGTGACCAATTCTACCACACACTTCCCACAGGGGCAAGCATATACACTACTCAAAAGAAGTTAAGGAACACCGAATTCTTTCATATTACTATTACTAATCTGAAATGACAGATTAACAATAATAATATGAAAGCATACATGACAGATTAGCTCTACTAATATGAAATCATTAGGCATTCTTCAACTTCTTTAGAGTAGTATACTAACCACATACAAGAATACCTCAACAACACACAAGTATTCTAACATTTAATTTTCAGTTGTCTTTTAATACATAATAGCCAAGAGAATCTCTTCATGCTATGTATTCTTAGGATATGTTTTATGAAGGGTCTGTACAAGAGTGAGTGAGTGAGTGAGTTGAGTTTAACGTCGCTTTTAACTGTATTCCCGTTATATCACGGTTTGTCAGCTTGATGTGGGAGGAAAGCCCGAAGTGATGCAGGTCTCAGACGTTTACCACTTCAGTGAAACCCACGAGCATGGGTATGGTGCTGACAAACCTAGAAACATAATCGGGATGAACCGGGATTCGAACCCACAATTGTAGGTTCCTGGCGTGCCCAAGGGACGCAACTCTGCACAGCAAATTGCAGCGCCTGAGACAACTGGGCCGTCCGTGCCCCCCTGTACAAGACACTAACAGACAAGCGAAAGTAAATACTCACTGACATGAGCTTTGATGACATTTCAAAAATTTAAAAACATTGAACATGAAACCTTGATGGGGTCTTACATTTCACATCAACTGACACATAATACAGATTCAGTGAGTGAATACTGTTCAGCCCAGCAGTCAGACATATTCCAGATACATCTCCATGGCCTGTAAAATAATCAGGGCCCCATTCCACAAAACCATCATAATCAGCACCGATCTACACAATTGGGATACGATGACATGATCAACCAAGTCAGCGAGCCTGACCACCCGATCCCGTTAGTCGCCTCTTACGACAAGTATAGTTGCTGAAGACCAGATCTCAGATCTTCATGGTTCCTGGTTGGGTGGAGGAGTTGACACAATGTTACGACGCACCTGTTTGGATGTGACCTTGGCAGCAGGAATCTGAACTCCACCACTCTCAGCCCGTCCTCCAGCATACAGTGTTGGAGGCAGTGCAGCTCGTAGGCTATGTAGGCGCGGCGGACGTATACCTGACACACAGACACAGACACAGTGAGTGAGTGAGTGAGTGAGTGAGTGAGTGAGTGTGTGAGTGAGTGAGTGAGTGAGTGAGTGAGTGAGTGAGTGAGTGAGTGAGTGAGTGAGTGAGTGAGTGAGTGAGTGAGTATGGTTTTACGCCGGTTTTAGCAATATTCTAGCAAAACCACGGTGGGAACACTGAAAAATGGGTTTCACACATTGTACCTAGTCTTTGGCGTGACGAGCCAACGCTTTAACCACTAGGCTACCAGACCGTCCCTCACACCGACACAGCTTGCTATTAGCATGAAGTACACAGACCTCTAACACCATCTCGAACTTAGGACTGATTTTGTACTTGTTTCACCCTTCACAACAACACTGCAATCATGTGTTAAATAAGTGGGTATGGTTTTACGCCACTTTTAGCAATATTACAGCAATACACGGAGGAGGACACCAGAAATGGGCAAGACACATTGTACCCATGTCGGGAATCGAACCTGAGTCTTCAGCATGACGAGCGAACGCTTTAACCACTAGGCTAACCGAATGCCCCAGTAAGTGAGTATGGTTTTATGTCACTTTTAGCAATATTCCAGTAATATCACGGTGTGGACACCAGAAATGGGTTTCACACATTGTACCCATGTGGCCTTCAGTGTGACAAAAAACACTTCAACCACAAGGCTACACCCGCCCCCCAGTTATGTGTTCTGTAAGTGGTTGACAGTGTGGCAGTAACTTACCCCTGCCCTACAACCCACACAGGTTAACACAGTCCACAGAAGTGGTCTTCTCTGTCGCTGCTGAACACAGCACTGGGGACAGGTCATGTGACATTTGTCTGTGTTGTGGCTGGGACCGAGACAACACAGCTCATGATACAATAACATTTCATTCGTTTTTCATACGGCATGTATCACAATATGTTACAAAGCAAATGAGAACAATTTTGTAATATAAGCTCATTAAACATTTCCATGACTGCTTTTTAAATAATCAATTGTGGAATGAGTCAGACCATATGTGGCACTACACAGCACCATGCATCCTGTTTCCACTTTAATATTGCAGTGAAATGGTGAATCAAGACTTTTAAATACAATACAACACAATGTCCATACAGAATCTTATGAAAAATTTGATAAATGATAAAGCAGGACTTCAGATACTCACATGAATAATATCTACATCAATTCCAGTCAATAAATATGTCAACTTAACAGGCTGCTTATTTCATGATTAATACACACAAAACTGAAGTGAGTGAGTGAGTTTGGTTTTACGCCGCTTTTAACAATATTCCAGCAATATCATGGCGGGGGACACCAGAAATGGGCTTCACACATTGTACCCATGTCGTGAATCGAACCAGGGTCTTCGGCGTGACGAGCAAATGCTTTAACCAGTAGGCTACCCGACCGCCCCCACACAAAACTGAAGACAACAGGACAAAAACAGGAGACATTATGCAGTGCAACAATGCAACACAAGCCCTGCCCAGGCTGTTTTCAGCCATCATGAAGCAGCAGTCCGTCAGTAGGCTTGGTTCTATTTCCCCCGGAACTGTTGGTGTTCTTGAACATGTCCTGGCATCACATGGTCAGGTGACGTGAAATGGGGTTATCCAAGATTATTGCACTTATATAGCGACATGCATGAATGTGTGTGTGTGTGGCTGCTTGTACTAGTCCGAACTGATGCCGATTTACAGCGCTAGCCCACTAAGATACCATGTCGCAGCTTAACATGAATACCCCACTCAGACACAGTATACTGACTCCGAGCCGACTTGTGTAAGTCCCTTAATGCCGAGCGCCAGACAGGGTAACAACAAGTACCATCTTTTAGCGTCTTTTGGTAGGACATGGTCAGGGATCAAATCTACTCTCCCACTAGACCACGAAGTGGGTTGGCATCATATGAACTTGACATTAAAGAACACATTCTGGAGAATCCCTGGTGGGACATGTTTGGGACAACAGAAGTCAATACTGATGCTGTTTGTTATGTCTATCCTGAACCAGCTCCACACAACACTTACAACTGCACAGTATGACCAATTGGGGACCAATTCTCTTCTAGAATATACCCATAGGGGGCCAGTTTCATTGAATGAGTATGGTTTTTACGCCGCTTGTAGCAATATTCCAGTAGTATCACAGTGGGAGACACCAGAAATGGGGTTCACACATTGTACCCATGTGGAGAATCAAACCCGGGTCTTTGGCAAGACAAGCGAACACTTTTACCGCTAGACTACCCCACCGCCCTTTAACCAACATGAGTATTATGAATATTATAAATGCTGAACACCTGTTAACCACATACCTCCAGTGCAGCACTTTTCACCAAGTCATTACTGTGAAAGAAGAACTCTTGTAGAACATCATAGATGGCGGTCTCCGAGTTGATCAGTTTCTGTAGAGATGAGAGACAGACGTGACATTATTCCTGGAACTGAGACAGGCACAGCACGACCTCCATGCATGCAGGCATGCACCACACCCGGCATTCACAAACTTCAAAGATGGAGAGAAAAACCAAAAAGGAAAAAGAAATAAAATACCACATCCGCACAGCAATTTAAATTCAAACTGCAAATCTGAACAATGGAACATTTAAACATTTTGAAATTTATCAAGAACTATCACACAAAAATCCTAAAAGAAACATGGTATCAAAACAATTTTGCAACAGTGAAATTCGGAAATATGGAATTGGAATAACAACTCAGTTCCATTACTTCACGCACCCGCCAGATAGAAATATACTACTCAAAAGAAGTTAAGGATCACCCAATTATTTTCTATTACTATAGTTTATCTTTCATGCCATTACAGATTTACAATAGTAATTTGAAAGAATCTGCTGATCCTAAAGTTCTTTTGAGTAGTATATTTTGGAAGCCATGTAACTGTCATGTGATTGAGTGAGTGCTTTGAACAGTATTTCACCTTGCCATGTGTCAGCTTGATGTGGGAGGTGAGGTGAGGTGAAATTGGGTTTAACGTCGCGTCCAAGATTATTGCACTTATAAAGCGACGTGCATGTGTGTGTGTGGCTGCTTGTACTAGTCCGGACTGATGCCGATTTATAGTGCTAGCTCACTGAGATACCATGCCGCAGTTTAACATGAATACCCCACTCAGACACAGTATACTGACTCCGAGCCGACCAGTCCTTGTTTTAGCCCCTTAATGCCGAGCGCCAGACAGGGTAACAACAAGTACAATCTTTTAACGTCTTTTTGTATGACGCGGCCCGGGATCGAACCCCACCGACCTTCCGCTCTCCGGGCGGACGCTCTACCACAAGACCACGGAGGCGGTCTTGATGTGGGAGGAAATCCCCAAGTGATGTGGTGGGTCTCAGACATTTACCACTTTGGTGAAACCCACTAGCACAGGTATGGTGGTGGTGACAAATTGAAACATTATCAGGGAGAACTGGGATTCGAACCTGCGATCATAGGACCATAAGAAATGCAATTATGCACTGCATATTGCGGCACCTTAGATGACTGGGCCACCCAGGTTGGTGTTACAAGTAAGATTTAAAGACAAATAAACAGAATGGTAACTGATGATCAGTACCCCAATGCTGGCTCATTAGCCCAGTCAAATATTTGTGTGTTCCATTTCGTATTTATTTACATTTTATGCACCCTATCCTTGAGTAAGTTAGTGGGTGAGTGGGCTAAATGTGGGAGGAAAGCTTGAAGCCATACATGTCTCAGATACCACATTGTTTCTGGCATGCCCAAGGGAGGCAACTCTGCACGGCAAATTGCACCACCTGAGATGACTGGGCCATCCATGCCCCCCTATCCAGGCAAGCAGTGTGATACAAAATTCACTGAAAATTGGTGACTATAACGTGACATCAAGCTACTGATGATCGAGGTCAATAGGGCATGGACAACAGTGTCCTCCTGACTACAACTACTTGTCTGAGTGAGTGATTCAGTGAGTGAATTCGAGTTTTCATCAGTTTTCCAAGCACATCCCAACAGGACCCCATGAATAAATGTACAGGTGCAGTGTCGGAAACATTTTTGTTGTTGTTTAATGCCGCACTCAGCAATATTGCAGCGGTCTGTAAATAATGGAGTCTGGACCAGACAATCCAGAGGCCACTAACAGGATCAGGTGGTCAGGCTCGCTGACTTGTTTGATGCATGTCATCGTATCCCAATTGCGTGAATCAATGCTCATGATGTCAATCACTGGATTGTCTGGAGCAGACTCCATTATTTACAGACCGCCATCAAACAGCTATTTGACAACGGTCTGTATTCAACCCTGAACGAGACAAACCAGTGGTTGATATTATGATCAACACCCCATGCCGCTGGGGTACGATGACACACAACCAACAAGCTACTGAGTCTGACCACCGGATCCATTTACTGGCTCTTATAATAGACATAGTGTTGACAGGTTTACTACATTAATTAATTCATTGCAGACAACCTGTAACCATCATGCTTAAACTAAATAATTTACACTAGCTGACATACCCACTGATGAAAGCCGTAAGGACTACTAGTAATAGTTGATTTCGAAAAAAGCTTTTGACCATTCTCATCACACTGTATACTCATTGATTAGGTTAATTGGAAGAATATTACAAGCAGCCACCATATTGTGCATGATTCATGAAACCTGAACCGGAAACTATCTCAAACCTTTACTTAAGGCGTGCTCTCTTACCATGCTTACAAAGCTTCAAACAACAAATACAGTTCTTGTATACTCTCCATGGAGCTGAGAACAGTGTTCATTTCAGACACTGGAAAAATGAGGCCCAGTGATGCCTACCTTCCTAAGAAGTGGTGACTTTTGATGAAATGAGGGGACACACAAATATTCAAAACAATTCAATAAACATGGCCCCTTGGACTGCTTTCATTTCTCCGACCCCATGACAAGCTGATGGCCACATGTGACAGGGGTACAAGACCGAAAAATGAAAACTTAAAACCAATTGGACAGAGCAATAGAACCAGCCAATCAAAACCTGTGTTTAATTGCAATGGTCAATTCATTCGGAACATACTGCTAAACCTTTCGTCACTGAACACAAACTGAAGACTTTTGAGGTTACGATAAATGACTAAAGCATTGCTATCGCTAAAACATGTTTACTTCCAATTTTGACAAAGGAAACTTAGTGATAAATAAAAGTCAAAAGTTGAAAGTATGATGAAAGACGTATTTTAGTTACTGGATATTATGTTACACCCTTCGGGCTCAGGGATATTTACTGTGTTCCATTAAGGAATTTTGTGTGTAAAAGTCCCAATGAATTTGTTCTGAAATAAACTATTATTATTATTATTGTTATTATTATTATTGAATACATGTACTTAAATAACTTATCAATGCAAAGTAAGCAACACCAGATTCACTTAAAGCTTTAAGACTGTACTTTTGTTCATTAGATCCTCATTGAAAATTTCATCTCTTTTAAATGAAAAATCCATGGCTTTTAAACATAGTAAATTGGGTGATACCATGCTGTGTTTGCCTGAGGTGCCCTAAGGGCTTAGAAAATTGACACAGGGACGTTTATTTAAACCATAAACAACAGTGAGTTGAAATTGTCACAGGTCAAGTGGCAGTAAAAAACCTCAAATGTTGATGAAATTAAACCATTTCTGATAATAGTTACGAGGTAACTACATATAATTACACTGCTACTGTCTGTAACCAAATCAAGAAAATAAGGACAGTTATGTAAATGTTCGGTCAAGCTTGGTTGGTTGGTTGGTTTGTTTGTTGTTTAACGCCGCACTCAGCAACATTCCAGCTATATGACAGCTTTATATTATTAACGGTCAAAACTGTGAAGAAATCAAGCAAAGAGGTAGAGTGGGAAATTGTCTTAGAAGCAGCATAGCGCATGGTTAGGAAGCAAATTTTCAATTTTAGAAATATAATTCTTAAACTTGATTGAGTTGAAGAAGCAAGAATCACACAAATATCCTAACATGTCCAGAGTTGATTTCTTATTTTACATATTGTTCATGAAGTGAATTATTAGTTTGATAAATATTTTCAAGAAGTGCATTATAGAAAGTGTGAGATGCAGAAGGTGTTCATGGAGAGTGTCTATTGATATCATTTACAGCATTGATGGAGTTGCAAAGCTCATGCAGTTTTCTGCCGTTATTTACAGGTGTTAATATATTTGATATCAAAGCACACCAAGGGAACATTTATTTATTATCTATATATAATGCATTAATCATGATCACCTGTACGTTTGAGACCATCTTGTAATCATTAAGGCACATCACCTAGCAAAAATGATCAAAGTGCACTTCAATAACTGAAAGAAGGTTTGCGCAGTCGGACTATTTTACATAATGGTACAATATTTATATTCTTGAGAAATAGCAAGCAAAATATTGCATAGATAGATATTACTAGTCAAATGTCTGTCAGATACCATTTATCAAACGTTTATTTTCAAAACGTATCTAACGAGCGGAGGTGAATTACCTATATTTTGAAACACATTGTTAGACAAATAGTATCTGACAGACATTCACGTAGAATATCTAACTATTTGTTTCAACATGTATCAAACTCATCTCCGCTCATTAGATACGTTTTAAAACAAGTTGTAAGGTAAATGGTACCAGACAGGCATGAGTGCCGTAATCTGTTTCTTACACACCCTCAAATCTCACCATTTTGTATATTTTGTATCATGATGGAAGTGGCGCAATAATACATAACATAACGGTCACAAGTGACATCGTCCAGCCAACTGCTTACTACTTATAACAAGTGTGACCCTACACAAAAAAGTATCAGCCATATCTGTGGACTATCAAGGTGATGATGATGATGATGATGATGATGATGATGCAAACTGGACAGGGCCAAAGAACATGTTTTAAACACTCCGAAACCATTCAGTTTCCACACAAACGTAGATTAATTCGTCTGAAGCAAGAAAAACTTCTCGATATTACGATCAGGAAAGTATTCCTTGATAATCTGAACTTAGGTCATCACCCCGGAGTAGCCAATCATGGACCTGGAATTCAATTTCACACGTATAATAATAGTAATCCCAAATGCGTTTCTCAGGTGTGTAAAAAAATATTATCTAAAAAATGGCTTCCACAGGAGATATTGTTTGGTTTAGATCAAGCAATATATTCTAGGAGATATCACTAAAGTGCAATTGCAGCACTATGCTTTGCAGGCGATTGTGACCAAACCCGTTACCATGACATCCCAATTAAATGCCACCACTAATCTCTCTGCCACTGAAGCTGGATAGCTTGCTAGACTCAAGGCACTGGTTAGAACTGTCTACAAACTGAAAAGGTTGGAGTGAGTGATTGAGTGAGTATGGTTTTAAGCCGATTTTAGCAATATTCCAGCAATATCACAGCGGGGGACACCAGAAATGGGCTTCACACATTGTACCCATGTTGGGAATCGAACCCGGGTCTGGGGCGTGACGAGCGAACGCTTTAACCACTAGGCTACCCGACTGCCCCTTGAAAAGGTTGGAAGAATGATTTTGGATGATAAATAGAATCTCAGCTTTATGTTTTTTTATCAAACATATCAACACTCGTCGTTAAAGTCAAAATTTGATATAAAGGACACTTCTCCATGTGTTGATAAAATAAAAATGCAAAACTGAATAGAATGTCTTTCAGCCAATCCTCAGTCACCTCTCGCGAGGGAATTCAAGATATTTCAAGACATGACACTCGGTATGACATCATGAGCATCGATCCAAGCAACTGAGATACGATGACATGAATCAACCATGTCAGTGATCCTGACCATCCAATCCCGTTAGTTGCCTCTTACGACAAGCATTGTCACCCTTTACAGCAAGCATGGGTTGCTGAAGACCTATTCTACCCAGGATCTTCATGGGTCGACAGATGAAGTGATTCTGTACCTAGCAGGTAAGTTGATGATTTTATCTCAATATTTATGTGAAATAATTTTCAGTACATATATTTCACACTGATATTGATATTGACATAAAAACAGTACTTAACCATGAAAAGGTTCAGGATTAACTGAAGGTGAGGTGGTGGTGAAATAGTGTTTAATGTATGCACATGTGTGTGTTTGGCTGCTTTTTCTAGTCCGGACTGATGCCGATTTTATAGTGCTAGTCCACTGAGATACCATGCAGCAGTTTAACATGAATACCCCACTTAGACACAGAATACTGACTCCGAGCCGACCAGTCCTTGTTTTAGCACCCTTAATGCCGAGCACCAGACTGAGTAACAAGAAGTATGATTTTTTGGTGTTTTTTTGTATGACGCGGCCGGGGATCAAGGCCCAACCTTCCTCTCTCCCACTAGACCACTTGTACTATTCCAAAATAATGCCACTTTCACAGTGCTCGCCACTGAGACAACACAAGTTTAACATGAATACCACACTCAGGCACAGTATACTGACTCTGACCCAACCAGTCCTCATCTTAGCCCCTTAATGCCAATCACCAGGCAGGGTAACAACAAGCACCATCTATTAACGTCTTTTGGTATGATGTGACCTTGATCAAACCATAGACTTTCCAGTTTGCAGCAGATGCTCTATTCACTAGACCATGTAAGCAGTCCAACCATCAGCAGGTACCAAAAGCACATGGATATCCTGACACTCCTGAGAAATGGCCCATAATGCAATATTCAATATGACAGTGCTGCCATATTGAAGTTTAGTTTCAGAAGCGCTGTCAAAAACGATTCATGAGTGGCTGGGGACGTCAGGTGACACTAGGTAATTAGGTCTTGGACAAATTGAGCCAAGAGAATCAAATATGACAAAACAGTAAAAGGAAATAGGAAAAATTTCAAATTTCACAGCAAACAGCAAACGGTTCAAACCATGTATATAGCCCGTGGCATGTCCTGGAACAGAAACATAATAGGTACATGCTTCATGTCAACCATAGTCACACCATTCACTTGTTACAACAATTAAAGCAATTATAAACCAGCTTGAAAACTGTACACCAGAGCTCCAGATAAGCTGCGTATCTGCGTGAAATACGCATCAGAAATGCAGAAATACACAGTAAAATATAATCCAAGCGTATCAAATACGCAACGAACATTACAGATACGCTACAAAAATAAAACTTGTGCGTATCATCAAAATATTGTGAAGTAACCCTGCGTATTCGATTAGCAAATCAGCAACTTATTTTGAAATTATAAACGGGCATTCCGTCAAGCTTGCCAAACTCCACGATGACAGTTACATCATGATCATTTGCCATCACACTTTCTTGTGGAAGTATCGTGGTATTTTTGAGTCCTATAAAGCTCTCGAACCCACACGACACCAGTTTGCAGGGACTAGATGAATAGTGTTTTTAAATATTTAACTTAAACGCAGATAGAATTACTGATACCCAATGATTTTAAAATGCATGGGTAAAATACCCACAACACCAAAAGCTTATCTGGAGCTCTGTACACACAAGCAGAGCAATCGGGATTTATCTATTCCAAACTAAATGCTGCTGTAAGGCAAACTGGAAAAAATTGTTACTTTGTTTAAACTTGGATTTTATTAACTTCTTATTTTCTTATTTCAGAGATAACTTATTTTTGGTTCTGTTTTCAGTTATCAGTAGAATCAAAGTCCTCCCTACGTGTACCAAGACATGGCTTTAGTCATAACCATATTTATTGAGTGAGTATGGTTTTACGCCGCTTTTAGCAATATTCCAGCAATATCACGGCGGCGGACACCAGAAATGGGCTTCACACATTGTACCCATGAGGGGAAATGAACCTGGTTCTTCGGCGTGATCAGCCATCGCTTTTACCACTAGGCTACCCCACCGCCCCACCATATTTATTGAAACAGGTACGTTTTAATTCCCATTTACTGACAAATGCTGCAGGCTTGGAGCCAAATATCAGGTCGAAAGAAATCCCAAATTTCAGGTCTAGATAAATCCCTGATAATATTATCATAAACCACTGTCACACTATCACCAAGGCAACACTTTCTCTGAATTGGTTTACAGATTCCACCGACACATTAAAAACGAAAAGAGGAAATAAATAATCTGAACCAATTTATTACTGTGCCAAACGTAAACGTCTATGTCCACTATAAACTTGTTTTTGCACACAATAGTTTACTTAATGAGAGCGGTGTTAACCAACATACAAGAAACGTCTGGCCTGGCCATGGAGCGACATCAAACACATGGTATTTGAAGGAAGCCAAAGCTGACAGAGTAGCATATTACCAACCTGGAGGTTTTCTGGACAGAACTCATGTCCGTACATGTCAATGGCGGAGAGGAAGATGGACTCCATCTGGTTGTGACGGAGCTCATATGGCGGCTGGTGGGCAGCGATCAGAACCTGAACGACAGTTAAGCTTCATTAGATTTGTGTACAGAGATGTTAGGATGTTAGGAGCGTGTGTGTGTGTGTGTGTGTGTGTGTGTGTGTGTGTGTGTGTGTGTGTGTGTGTGTGTGTGTGTGTGTGTGTGTGTGTGTGTGTGCGTGTGCGTGCGTGCGTGCGTGCATGCATGTTGTGTAATGCAGTGTGTGCGAGCATGTTGTGTAATGCCAATATACAAGCTACAGTAAATTATGGTTATAATGAACGCAAAGGGACCACTAATTATAGTTCGTTATAAATGTAGTTCATTATAAGCATTTTGACTAAAATATACAACAAATGGCCAGGACCTAAAGAACAGTTTGTTATATCCATCAGTTCGTTAAAAGCGTGTTTGTTATAAACATATTTAACCGTACATGACAGCGACCTGTACAAATATTGAGTGTGGACCAAGCAATGACACATAATAGGTGGCTGGGGACCAATTCAAGCCCACAATCCACACAGGTTGGTTACAATAGGAACAGCCCCAAAGCTCAGCTGTGTGAGTTTAGTTTAACACTGCTTTGAACAGTATTTCAGTTAATTCATGGCGTGGGAGAAAAGCCCAACATTTACCACATTGGTGAAACCAACAAGGACTCATGATGATGACAAACCTAGAAACATCATCAAGGCATACACATGATCATAGGTGTGTGGCCAAGCTCCTCACGATAGCCCTTTTGCGGAGCTCTCAATACTATCGCTGCCACCTGTCAAAGCTCCCCACTGTGATACGTGGCCACAACCATGCTTGGAGTTGAACTCGCAACCGAATGACCGTTATGTTTACAAACAAGTGACGACTGTCGTTACGCCAAAAACACTTACTGCTGCTTAATTACTTTCTTTGTTTGTCATTTGAATTTCTATTTCATTAAAACTATCATGCAATTGATAAGAATAATAGTAAGAATGTAAGCGAGAAGTTGGCTGATTTTCTGTTAGTCTGCAATCTTGACCCAATCTGATTATACAAACAACAAAGTAAATACATCTGGAAAACAAGGTCAATCATAAACCTTTTCAAATAAAATATGATGGCATTCCCATAGACATAAGCAAAATTATAAACGTTACTACATTTGGGGTTAGAGGCCAAATTTCAAGATTCTTGTAATGGCCGCCGCACCCCCGCTGGTGGCACGCTAAGGGAAGCAACCCTTCACTCTGAAATGCAGAGCCTCAGACAACTGGGCCTAGTGTCCCAATAGCGCACCTGAATGCTGTTAGTCCGTATCAAGACAAATATATGCAAGAAATGTAAATACTATTTCAGCAATTCAGAAGAAAGAAGAAACATCAACATGATTACCTGTCTGCCTCGTAGGGCAACTTTGGCATTTTCCTTCTTGTTGAGTTGTGTGAGATCATTCAAGATGGACGCCATCTCATCTGTGACCCCTGGCTCCTTTCCACACAGGTGGTCCTGAATTGCAGAAACACAAAGTTATTCCGTACACATATACTCATGAATATAACACCAGGAATTTATCCAGGATTCCAAACTAAGTTTCCTTGACAGGCAGCTTGGGAAAAATTGATCTTATTTATTTCGTTTTATCCTAATTATTTCTCATCCTGATCCAACCTATTGCAAAATCCCTCTCCCTGCGATCCCATGACACAAAACCAAAACGTGCCACGCCACCAGGGAGAGCTCTCCTCCAGGTCACTAATCAGAGTTATGTCTCTTTCAACCCTCACTTTCCTTCTTGTCGAGCTTCAACGCACACGCTTGCAAAGCCAACTTTGTTTTCCTTTGAGGGACTCAAAATTTATTGAATAATATTTGGGTACCCTTTTCTTAAAAGCTTACTAAAAATGACAATGCCTCAATTTGTTGTGATTCTTCACATATTTTTGTGATTTATGACTGCATTATTTAATTATAAATATAACAGTATGAATTGTGAAATGTTTAATTCAAATTTGGGAATTTTTACTGACATTTGCTGCAGACTTAGGGATGAATATCGGCCCCTCTAATCATGATCAGGTCGAGATAAATCCTGTCAATGTAACAATAATCCTCATTTATCAGCTCTTATGACAAGAAATAAAAATTGGGACCAATTCTAATTCTTAAATATTTCTTATTTTCACTAATCTGCAAGAATAATTTGCTTCAGTGTGTCCATCTACCTACTGGTAAAAGTGATAGTCCACAAGGTCCTTCCTGAATTGTACTAGTTTCTTACAAGGGTGAGTGAGTGAGTTGGGTTTAACGGCGCTTATATCATGGCTTGTCAGCATAATGTGGGAGTGAGTCAGCACCATACCCGTGCTCGTTGGTTTCACTGAAGTGGTAAACGTCTGAGACCTGCATCACTCCGGGCTTTCCTCCCACATTAAGCTGACACGCCGTGATGTAACTGGAATACTGTTAAAAGCGGTGTTAAACCCAACTCACTCACTCACTCACTCACTGTAGTACCAGTGGGTGCCTTGGTACTCACTATGAGCATGATGACGAGGTTGTTCTTCTGCTGGACAGCAAGGTGGGAGAAGATGGTGCCCACAACGGTGGCCATGTCATCCTTGTTCTTCTCTCGCAGCTGGTACACGCACTTGTCGTAGTGACCTGTCATTACACAAACATAGGGTCAGTACACCCACTTCTCAAAGTGACCTGTCACACACATCGTATCAGAACACACAATCGTCATGGTCTGGTCATTGGGTGGTCAGGCTCACCGACTTGGTTGATGCATGTCATTGTATCCCAATTACGTGGATTGATGCTTATGATATCAATCACTGGAGTCTGAACGAGATTTGATTATTTACAGACAGCCGTAATATAGATGGAATATTGCTGAGTGTGGCGTTAAACAACAAACAAACAAACAAACAAACGGGGGAAATACACACCGTACAGGATCAATTGTTTCTGTGTTTGTCCGTCTTACCTTGCTGGAACTGCAGCTCAACGCGGAGGTACTGCCGGAGGAGGTCCTGCACAACGGACTTGAGGTGACCTCGGATACCACTGCGGTACCTCTGCACCAGCTGCACGATACCCTGGGTCGTCATGAAGAACACATCTCTCTCTGTTCGCTTCGTCAGTGTAGCAGCATAGCTGTCGATCACATTGGCAATCTGGAGAGGAAGGGTGTAAAGATTAGGTCGAAATGAAGTGACAGGTTTTCTGACATTACAACACTACCCATGATGATGTAAGCCTTTGACATTTGACTTGATTTGAATGTGTGAGGGAGGATGGTTTCACGTCACCTTGACACACGGTGAAGGTGAGTGAGTGAGTGAGTGAGTGAGTGAGTGAGTGAGTGAGTGAGTGAGTGAGTGAGTGAGTGAGTGAGTGAGTGAGTGAGTGAGTGAGTGAGTGGGTGGGTGAGTGAGTGAGGGAGGGAGCGAGCGAGCGACACTGACCTGTTGACTGGGGAACTGACACAGGACTGACGTGATGTTGCTGGCGTAGGAAGCCATGAGTCTCCGCATTGACTTCTCTACTTTGGCCGGAATTCTCCCAGAGATCATGGAGATCAAATCCTGCAACAAAAACAACATTCCAAAACTGTATGCATGCTTCATTGACATTATAACGTCAAGTTTACAATAATGCCACAGTAATTCATCAATTAGTGGGTATGGTTTTATGCCACTTACAGCTTCGTCACGTGAAGAGACAAGGATACTTTGAGTCAATAGATGATAGTCAGGCTTGCAGGGATGAAAGCCTAATGATTAACTTATTATGGCCTAATTTGATCAGAAACATTTCTGCAGAACCCTCAATCAATTTCATGACACAACGTACCTCCAGCTCTAACACAATGTACCTGCAGCTCAAGCACAACATACCTCCAGCTCAAGCACAACATACCTCCAGCTCTAACACAATGTACCTGCAGCTCAAGCACAACATACCTCCAGCTCAAGCACAACGTACCTGCAGCTCAAGGAGCGGAAGCGAGGGCTCCTTCAAACACTTCATGATGCACTCCAAGTTAACATTGAGTCTCTCCTTTAAGTAGGGCTCGGGGAGGACGTATCCCGCCATGATGTTCTCCAGCTGTATGCGGGCCCGCTGGAACACCTGGTGCAGGCGGTCGCCGTGCAGGGCGGGGTTCTGGGGGGTGGGCAGTGTCCCCGTGAACAGCTGGGCCTGAAACATAGCTACACCTGTAGTCATACCTTATGAATGTTGTAATCATCAAACGTTCTCAGAGAACACACAGGTCACCGCTACAATCAACACACATCTTTATTCCATTACTGAACAAATTCAACTCCTACCGGTCTAACTGCCTTCTCCCTCCTTCTATTCTTACCGTGCACCCACCTACCTAGCAACGCACCCCCTTCGTCTACCATATTCTTTCTACATCCTTTTAGAGTTATCCCCCTTATACTGCCAGTACCAAACTCCTTCCCAGCGCTTGACACCTTCGTTACACTCTCGGTAACAACGCTGCCACCAGTGTGGGCACGGCCATTACAAGAATCTTGAAATTTGCCCTCTAACCCCCAAAATAGAAACGATTATACTTTTGTTTATGTCTTTGGGAATGTCATCATTATGAATTTTGAAAAGGTTTACGACTGACCATATTTCACAGATGAATTTTAATTGTTTGTTTGATCAAATTGGTTCGAGATTGCTGACGAACAGAAAATCACCCAAATGCTCCCTTACATTCTTACTATACCAATTACATGATAGTTGAAATGAAAAAGAAATTCAAATTGACAAACACAGAAAATAATTTAGTTAGGGAAAGTGTATTCGGCGTCACAGCAGTCATTGCTTGTTTGTAAACATAACGGTCCGTCGGTTGCGATTTCGACTCCAAGCATGGTTGTGGTCACCTATCACAGTGGGGAGTTTTGAGTGGTGGCAGCGATAGCATAGAGAACTCCGCGAACTGGCTATCGCTGTGAGGAGCTTGTGCCCGTACATGTATGGTGACACAAGTTACCTCCCCTTATACTAAGACAAAAATAATGAAAGTGTACATTTGTATAGTGCTTTGGAGTCCACGTGCAAAGATTTTCAGTAGATATTACTATTATTATATGGACTTTTACTGGGTCTGTGTCTGTGTACATGTGTTTGTACTAGTCAAAACTACTGCCAGTTTTGTTGGGCCAGCCCACTGAGATGCCATGCCGCAGTTTAACATGGATACCCCACTCAAACACAGTATATTGATTCTGTGCAGACCAGTCCTTGTTCTAGCCCCTTATGCTGAGCCAGGGTAACAACAAATACCATCTTTTAACCTCTTTGGTGTAACACAGATGGGTATCGAACCACTGACCCTGCTCTCCAGGCAGACGCTCTATCCACTAGACCACAGAGTCTGCTAAAACTAAGGGACAGCTGCAACACATGCTTACCTAGTCATACCTTATAAATGTGATGAATAATTGAAGTGTTCAATTGTATGGCGCTTTTGAGACTAGCCCAAACTTGGCACCATTTTGCCCCATTTTCAGTACATCTTTGTGTCATAATATCGACTATTAGCCGAACTTAACAGACCGAACACAATGTTAGGAGACTTGAGTTTACAGATGAGTCTTCTATACTATACAAAATATTACTCTTAAGGTCAATATATAAACTGGGACCGAAGGACCACCTCCGGAGTCAGGTCCAAGGGGCCTTGTTTTAGCATATTTTCCTTGTCAAGAGTAATCATTTGTTTTGTTATACCGAAATTTACTTGATAGTTTATGAAGTCTTGAAACCGTCCTCTGTTTCATTACAGACATGGCGTCTGGTACGAACATTTCATGGTTCGCAGCTATTTTTCTCAATATTCATCACGTGACAGGTCAATACTGATCATGTGACGAGTCAATATTCGAGGTCAGTGTTAGTCCCATGATTTTGGGGTCTACATTGAAATGTATTGTTTCGTCACATGATACGGATTAACCAATGGAATTGCAAGATTCTTAATGAGAAACCCACTTGTTGTACTCGGCTTGGGTCATCCAGCTGCATGCGGGCCACAATCACACCTGGGTCCAACACTGCTGCCGGACGCTTCACGTAGTGAATGCTGGGAGAGAAGAAAATCTCCATCATTTCAAAACAAAGAAGGAACAAATAGTTTCATCACTTCAGCAACTCTTTCGTTTGTAACAAGAATTTGAGGAGGTGAACGAGTGTGTGGCTTGGGGGCTTTAGGTAGATTTGATTTGGTTGGTTGGTTTGTTGTTTAACGCCGCACTCAGCAATATTCCAGCTAAATGAAGGCGGTCTGTAAATAATCGTGTCTGGACCAGACAATCCAGTGATTGACATCATGAGTATCGATTCACGCAATTGGGATCGATGACACGCATCAACCAAGTCAGCGAGCCTGACCACCCGATCCTGTTAGTCACCTTTTACGACAAGCATAGTCGCCTTTTACGGCAAGCATGGGTTGCTGAAGACCTATTCTACCCCGGAATCTTCACGGGTCACGTAGATTTGAACATTTATATATTTATATACAATATCATACTGTGTCCACTGAATGTGTGAGGATAGCCAAAAGTTATTAAGGTCATAGATGAACACTGTTGAATGGTATAGGTATTGTGCGGACACCGGGATAGAATTGATCTTCAGCAACCTATACATGTCGTAACAGGCAACTAACGGGATCGGGTGGTCAAGACTCGCTGACTGGATGCATGTCATCATATTCCAATTGCGTAGATTGATGCTCATGATGTCAATCACTGGATTGTCTGGTCCTGACTCAATTATTTACAGACCACCATCACATAGCTGGAATACTGCTGAGTGCGGCGTGAAACAACATAAACAAAACAACATTTAGCTGACAGACGAAAATTCATGAGGTTAGTCCTATGATTCAACTAGTAAATTGCAGCATCTTTAACCAAAGCACACCGGCGCTGAAGCTCTATGATCACAGAGATCGACACAAGCTTCGACTTACCACCCGGTCTCTGTGGCACGTAATTCCATCACCATCTTCATCACCTCAATCTCAGCATACGCGTCCCCAGAAAACACGTGGCCTCCATCCTCCACAATGAAGTTGATCAACTTGCCAGCAGATGGCGATCTAACAGTAGAAGATCACATTATCACATCATCAATAATTCCCAGGTTTAGTTTCCACAATCAAAATCAGTTTCTCAATCACCTGTGAATACTTCCCAGGTTTAGTTTCCACAATCAAAATCAGTTTCTCAATCACCTGTGAATACTTCCCAGGTTTAGTTTCCACAATCAAAATCAGTTTCTCAATCACCTGTGAATAATTCCCAGGTTTAGTTTCCACAATCAAAATCAGTTTCTCAGTCACCTGTGAATACTTCCCAGGTTTAGTTTCCACAATCAAAATCAGTTTCTCAGTCACCTGTGAAATCAGATGTCCCATTTGCTGTGTAGTAGATATTTTCACCAATGACTTTATAGTTCCAACTAGTGCTCAGACCAAAGAGTGCTCAGATTTACCAGCACAAATGACAGTATTTCCCATGCAACATGTACAAAGGACTTGCAACCAGTTCTGCACACTGCTTCACTTTCAGCCAATGGTAGGCATCGCACAAAGTCTGTGCACGGCGCAGGGCTCATTTCACTCCCTTGAGTTTAAAACAGCCTCATCACTACTATATATACACTACATAACCCCTCTTGATCTAAGCTCCTGGACCCTGTTTGCCTCCTTAATTTGTGATGGTTCTGGCTGTAATTTTTAATTTCATTTCTGGACTAATGGTTTTATAGTGCTAGCCCACTGAGATACCATGCTGCTGCTTAGCATGGATACCCTAAACTGACAGTACACGGACTCCTAGCCAACCAGTCCTTGTTTTACCCCTCAATGCCGAGCAACAAGTACCAGCATTTAACGTCTTTTGGTATCAAACCCTCGACCTTCTGCTCTCTGCGTGCAGATGCATCCACTTGACCACAGGGGTGGTTTCCCTGAGACGGGTCATAACTAACACAAATGCAAGGAATGTGCCCTGTAAAGTGAACTACTACCAGTGTTCCCGTTTACCGGTAATTACCAGTTTTTTACCGGTAAATTTAGGCTTGGATTGGTAATTCAGGTGACTGCCAGTCCCTCTGGACCGGCAGATAAAGATCCTTATAAATCTTTGTTGTTGAACAAAACATCAGCGATATTCAAAGAAATATATTTTTTTAAAGAAGTCAGCTTGTCTGTTACCATCAGGTCATCCCCTTGTCTTTTTTTAGTGCAAGGAAATAACATTTCACTTTGCTTCGAGGTTAAATATCCATTTGTAGTGACATTGTCTCGAAATATTAAAAAAAGAGAGAAAATATTGTGACTGAAGCTTGTGTGAATGACATGTAGATCTAAGTTATTTCAGATATGACTCATTGCACTGAACATGATGTTGAAAGAATGAAAACCAGCTAATTTTCATACATTTTTTATTTGTTGAAAGTTGGGACTGACAATAATTAGTGGGGACTGGTAATTTTTAGAGTTGCCAGTCCACAAGGACTGGCAGTTTCAAAAGCCAGCTGGAACACTGACTACCAGCTAACATTTCTGCAACGAAAGAAAGACTTAAGTTTTATCCCAGAAACTGACAAAATACTGCTTTTTTTTGTCATTTGATGATTCCATGTGTCAGCTTGGTTAGCATAGAATGTACGAATCTGACGACCTGAACATCTCTCCACTGACCTGAGCACTGTTGGGTCGTTCTCCCGGTGCAGGACACAGGTCTTGTTGCCGATGGTGACGCGGTAGCTGTTGACTTGGTCCTTCATGTATGTTGTGTGGCTGGACCCATCCACAGACAGAAGCAGACCGCCGTCAGACAGACTGAAACACACAAACAACGCAGGAACGTGTCATGAATTCTGTCAAGACAAGGTTTAAAATCAGCATTAGAAATTGGCACTAGTCCCATACTCCTTGCCAAACTGCCCAATAGTTAAGGTATCAGGACTAGTAGAAATTTGCCTTTTTAAAGTTTGTTAGCTATGTTATCATTATAAGGACAGTAGACTAAACTATTAGTTTCTGTCACTGAAAAGGTTTAAAAGTAAAAAACTAAAATATATAATTTAAAATTAGGTTTATGATGGTATAAGAAATAACATCTAAAACAAAATTATTCTCACCGATGAGCCTCGACATCCAGGACGGAGTTGTTCATGCACAGGAAGTAGCTGCTGATGCCTGTCTTTATCACCTGCGGACACAGAACGGTCCATATATTGGTCAAACACTATACATTGAAGTTGAGACGGAGACAGCATGGGGAACAGGAACGTTTATAGAGAGTAAATTTAATTGTTTGTTACAGCCAGAAACATTCTCTGCAGCATCTTTCAAAGCCAAAATCAAGGTAATGTGCTTGTTTTTTTAGGTCCTATGACACAGTAATAAGTCACATTGTAACCATCCAGTCTTCATTTTGCATAGCATCTTTTCTGACGATGGTCTGTAAATAATAGTCTGGACCAGACAATCCACTGATTGACATCATGAGCATTGATCTACGTAATTGGGATCGATGACATGCATCAACCAAGTCAGCGAGCCTGACCACCCGATCCCATTAGTCGCCTTTTACGGCAAGTATGGGTTGCTGAAGACCTATTCTACCCCGGTCTTCACAGGTCGGACGGTACCTCTCGGTACCTGCATTAACTGGTTAGAACACTGTGTAGAACATTCCAGTGGCTGGGTAGGTTATATATATATATATAGAGTGGGACAAGAGCGTGTTTACATATCTCACACACATTTTATCATACATGCAATTTCATCTCGCCGAGACCAGCTTTCATGTGAGGATCGCTCATCATCCCTGATTCCCTGCCTAGCCCATCACGGAAGCTTGACCACTGTCACGGTTGGGTGAATATATATTATTATCACTGACTTTTGCCATCACCACTGTATTTTTGTATTTGATACTGACTGCCCTCATATTATTTATTGCCATTGAATATTGTGCTACCACTCTATTGTTTACTGCCATTGTTATTGTTGCGCAGTAATTTGTATTGACTTGTTATTTCTGAATTTTGTAAATACATTTGTTGATTGTATACCACTTGTTGATTGTTTGTTGGTTTCACACTAACTTTTTTTTCGTATAGATTTCTGGATTAACCTATTTATTTCAATTTGGGAATCGACACATAACACTCAAAGGCTGAACCAAAACCTACAGAATACATTCCTAGGTCATAAAAGGTTGGGATTTGAAGTTAAATTACTGATAAATAAAATAAGGATAAAAAGGATATGTTTGCGCACACCATTATTTATTGTTAAATATTGAATCTACCAACCAAATATGATTCTCTTTGCATCCCCTATGCCACACTGCTGAGTCCCAAATACCTGCTTGGTGGACACCCCGAATCCCACGTAGCAAAAGGGGGTTGGCAGCCTTATGTGCACAGTCTTGCTGCCTCTACTCTACAGGGGGCGGTCGGGTAGCCTAGTGGTTAAAGCATTCGCTCATCATGCCGAAGACCCGAGTTCGATTCCCGAGATGGGTACAATGTGTGAAGCCCATTTCCGGTGTCCCCTGCCGTGATATTACTTGAATATTGCTAAAAGCGGCATAAAACCATACTCACTCACTCACTCTACTCTACAGTATCAGGCCATAGCAGATTTCACACAACTTCATGCACAGCTGGGCTCATCTGACATCCATGAGTCCTATACGGCCTGACTACAACCCTCATCACTCTTACACTGCATATACTGGTCATATGTCACGGGTGATCGAGCGACGTGCTGTATACAAATCTGTGAAGTATTGCCGACGAAGCAGAACCTACCTGCAAGATGTACTTGATGCCCTCCATAATGAACTCCACATCAGCAATATTCTTCAAGGATGATGATGGCAAGATCTGGCCTCTAAAACAGAAAAATAACTTTCAAGTTCCACTGTAGACGAAGACGATGCAAATCTGGTTTGGAGCATTTGGAATCCAAACAACCGAACCTCTTTCTCACAAATTTTGGAATGGTTGGTCTTCAAAGCAAAAATTACAACATTGTCAATAGGGGCATGAGGTGAAATAGGGTTTAAAGGGCAAGTAAAGTCAACATAGCAACTTTGCAGATTTTAACAGGGCATACCTAATCACAAATACTTCACAAAAATTCAACTTGAAAATCGGAAATTGTGTCAAAAAGACGATAAAAAAGGACACACGAAATTGTCCCCAAAAACAAAAAATATCCTCCAGTAAACCAATATGCCGGAACACAATTATTTTATTGCAATACATATCGTCTGACAAGCGTATTGTAGTAGTCAGGTATACCGGTAATACTGTGCAGTCCTACCATGAAGGGAATTATGTACATAAAGGGAATTATTATCATGATGATGTACCAGAAAAAGGGCAATTATATACAAGAAGGATGGAATTATATTCACGAAAAAGGTAATTATACAAGATGAAAGGACAAACAGACAGGATGAAAGGGGAATTATACTATCAGTCTTGAAACCCAAAGCCCAGCAACGCACCTCTCCAGTGAAGTCTGGAAGTCCTGGAAGCTGCCCAGGATCCTCTGGTCGGCAATGTGCAGGGCACCACAGATCACCCCCAGCATGGTGTCCGGCTTCTCCGCCTGAACCTTATCAGAGATGAGTTTGTCCAGCCAGGCTGTGGTGATGGTGTTGCCCTGGAACGACTCCGTCTCCAGCAGCTTGATGAGGTACTCCACCGTGGTGCGGAAGTCTCCGCGGATAGACAACTCTTTCAAGGCCACCACCAGGTTCCTGGACAAGTCAAGGTCAAGGTCAAGGTCGGGTCTCATACAAACAATTTAGGCTGCAATCACTTTAAAGTTTATACACCTACAGTCAGTGATAGAACCTTTTGAGTCTACTTGCCCAGCCTGCCTCTATATAATTTTCAGTACATCTTATAAGTAATATGTATGGAATTATATCAGCCTAGCTTACAAGTCTTAAGTTTACTGAGATTGAAGGATAATGACAGAACCTGGATCAAGTGGAATTCCTTATTGGAGGTTTATAGACGTGAGTTTAACGCTTTGAGCAGCATTTTTTTGTACCTGGATCAAGTGGAATTCCTTATGGGAGGTTTATAGACGTGAGTTTAACGCTTTGAGCAGCATTTTTTTGTTTCTGTTGATTTTGAAGCTGCTTTCAGTATTTCAGTTACATCACAGTGTGATTGTTGGATTGGGGTGATAACCTGAAGTGATGCCTACCCGATCAATTTTACTATCCTCTTACGACAGCATAGGCTGATGGGGACTTATTGTACTCCTAAATTCACACAGTGGCTGACATGGTCCATTGTTTCTGTGTACTCACTCTCGGGCATCTTCCCGGTCCTCTCCCCAGGAGAAGCAGTGGCCGAACTGGGAGTCTGCAAACTCATGAAGGCCGCCCGATGCTGCCACGCTGAAATACCCCCACACGTTTTTGTTGCTGCGGAAGTTCAGCTCCTGCACGGTGCCGGAGCTGGGCTTGAAGCCTTCGTCGGGGTTCTCGCTGGTGATTCTGGCAGCAATCACATGACCCCTCGGGTGGGGTTTAGCTCGGGGATTGTCAAAGTCAATGGCCGACTCTCCCCATGGGTCTTCACCGTACAAAACTCGGATGTCTTTGATATGATGGAGCGGAAGACCCATAGCAACCTAACAGAGAGAAACACACCTGGGGATCACACACAGGTAACTAAATAACAGTCCCTGTTGTATTCCGCACCCAAAAACAATAATACTGCGGTAAATTTGGGTAAATTCTGCAACCAAATTTTGCACAGAATAATCAAAAACTTCCTGAAAGGTTAGTTTTCGTGAATTTCATAGTTTTTCACTTGGTTGACCCATGGCAGGAAGTTTTAGGATAAACATATCAATGGCTAGAATAACTTATTATAGTGAACATGGAGATTACTAGTGTAGTCTTAGCAATACGACTGTAGTATGTCTATGTTAAAGTGTGGGAAGTATGACAGTCTTAGATCTAAGATCACTTTGTGAACAGGGCTCCTAATCCTATATACAAAGTGATCTCAACTGATGTAAGTCTGAGTGAAAGGATGCGAGTTAAGACAGTCACAGCACTACAATTGCTTTGAGAATAGCCACACAGACTGTAGTCCCAAATAATGATGTGAGCTGGTCTTGGAGTAGCCCGGGACACACTCACCTGCAGCTGGGCGGCGGGGAGGTTGATGTCGGCCACCATCTCGGTGCACGGATGCTCCACCTGAAGCCGGGGGTTCAGCTCCAGAAAGAAGAACTCATCCTGCTCTGCATTGTACAGGTACTCCACGGTGCCGGCGCTCACGTACCCCACCATCTTGGCCAGCGTCACAGCAGCCTGCACCGCATAAACGTAATAATCGTATTTGTTTGTTTGTAAAGTCGCAATCAATATTTCAGCTATATGACATCAGCTTGTAATTAATCTGGACCAGACAATCTAGTGATTGATATTGTGAGCAACGATCTATGCTGATGAGTACGACACCCAGTCAACCAAGTCACCAAGCCTGACCACTCGATTTGATCGCCTCTTATGATGCGCCACATGATGATTATTATTTATTATAACAATGAAAATATAAAAAGTCGCAAAAAAAATCTTTGGCCTCGTCTATGATTTTTTTTGCAATTTTTAATTTTTTTGATTGTTATTATTAGTTACATGGTCCTGTGGATGAGCATGGGTTGTTGAGGGACCAATTCTAACCCGGAATCACCACAGGATGATTATACTACTAGCACATCAGCTAATCTTTGGAATACATATCCCTTCAAGGACTAAAACATCGACATTCTTTGCAATGAGATGGTACCCTTAACTATAAAATTCATACCATGTGACAAAACATTTACAGTCTACTAGACAACTGCTACTTACCTTCTCCATCCTCTCAAAGATACCAGACTGTGCAATGGTGACTGGTGCTTCTTCAATGATCTTCTGGTGCCTGCGCTGTATGGAGCAGTCCCGCCCGAACAGTGAGATGGCGTTACCATAGCTGTCGGCCAGAAGCTGCACCTCCAGGTGCCGGGCAGCAGACGCCAACTTCATGATGAATATCGGTGACCCTGGAACCTCTGCTTGCACCTGCAGTCAACACGTTAGGGATGAACAAAAGTGAGTGAGCAAGTTGGGTTCAACGCCACATTGAACATTATGCCAGTTATATCAGGGCGTGTGAGCTTCATGTGGGAGGAAAGCATGAAGTGATGCAGGTGAAACCCATGAGCAAAACCTAGAAACATAATCTGGGCAACTATGTCTGACGTCTGACCCCCAACACAAATCTCCTTTGTTGCATTTATGGACTATAGACAAGTTGAACCACCTAGTGCTGTGTTTTACCGATTACATCTTCACTGGGAGGTAGAGTGTACACGACTTCAGCATTATATAAGAGTCCAGTTTTGGAGTCCTGTTTTGCTCTGGGTGTCAATAATGTAGCATTCAGAGTCACTAAACAATCTGCTGTACAGTAAAATCATTCCTTCAAGTACAGGTGAATTCAAAGTGAACTGTGCCATGATCATGGTTTGAATCCCACGTCCGTGCAGATTATGATCCTTGGTTTGCCAGCACCATACCCCAGCTCATGGGTTTCACCAAACTGGTTCATGTCCACAACTAACAAATTTGGGCTTAGCTCCGAAAAAGAGCCAGCATTCCTCGAAACGACTGACATAATCCCACAATAAGACGACATGCTTTGACACAACTGAAATAAGGGAGGTAATGCTGCACACAGAATTGCAGCATTTTAGATAACTGTGCCCCTCACCTGTCTGTAGAGATTGGGGAAGTCATCTGCATTGTCAACTCTCCTGATGCCCTTGCCTCCACCCCCTTCCGAAGCCTTGATCATGACGGGGAAGCCAATGTCATTGGCCGACTTGAGCCCTGACTCCACGTCTGGCGTGCAGCCCTTCTTGTAGAGGTCATTGGGCACAACCAGCTGCTTCCACTTGGTCTTGTCCTTCTCCCCCATCTTCAGCTTCACACCTGGAGGAGCAGACGCCAACAAATCAGGATCATGTTCCACCAAGCAAAAATGGCGCTACAACTCTCTTTGGTATATATAAATGAAGTGGGAGTTACGGTCATCTTACTATCAAGATCGCTTTGCGGAACAGGCCATTCCAGTGACTTTTGTCGTCTAATGCAATTCCCTTGTTTGACTTATGTTCCTGTGTGTTTTTCAGGTGAACAATTGACTTGTCTTTGCATGTGTTTGTGAAGGGTGACATATTTTATCACTATTTGATAGTTATTCATAAACACATGCTCATCAAAAAGTCAGAATCGTGTAATGGACTCTGCTTTAAAAAGAATTCTAATATTATTATGAAATATTTTGAAAAAGGAAAGGGTTTCGTTGCCTTTATTTGAGTCTGTTTTTTGCAGATTCCTATGTACACCTCACTCTTGGCATCTTAGAATATTCATGTCCCAGGGCATATACACAATTCCTTTATGACCAACTTGAGCATATTTTGGTCATCTAAATAATACATGTTGAAGGGTCTATTCTAAGTAAATTTAGCCCTGATCAAGACATATGTACTCTTTCCTACATGTTCATTTTTTTTTATGAAAAGTTACCATAAAACATGCACTTTTAACTGATAGAAAACATACTGCATGAAACACAAATGTCATCAAGTATTTGATTGTCGCCATTGATGCAGATAACATTCGCTTAACTTGGGTTCCGTCTTTGAGGGTTTGAACGCCACATGCTGGGAACCTGGCACTTATTATATGTCTGGTGTTCATTCCAATATAAGTTGCTTGCGTATGATAGGATCTAAATGCTGTAGGTTGACTGCTAGTCTACCAGATTTATTTATTTTAGAAAATACTAGTCCGTACTTTAAATGACTAAGCTACTGACCTATAGCCCCTAGTTGAAGCTGAGATTGTTGATGTCTAAGTGCAGCTTGCTGAGATTGTTGATGTCTAAGTGCAGCTTGCTGAGATTGTTGATGTCTAAGTGCAGCTTGCTGAGATTGTTGATGTCTAAGTGCAACCTGCTGAGATTGTTGATGTCTAAGTGCAACCTGCTGAGATTGTTGATGTCTAAGTGCAACCTGCTGGGATTGGTGATGCCTAAGTGCAACCTGCAGAGATTGTTGATGTCTAAGTGCAACCTGCAGAGATTGTTGATGTCTAAGTGCAACCTGCTGAGATTAGTGATGTCTAAGAGCAACCTGCAGAGATTGTTGATGTCTAAGTGCAACCTGCTGAGATTGTTGATGTCTAAGAGCAACCTGCAGAGATTGTTGATGTCTAAGTGCAACCTGCAGAGATTGCTGATGTCTAAGTGCAACCTGCAGAGATTAGTGATGTCTAAGTGCAACCTGCAGAGATTGTTGATGTCTAAGTGCAACCTGCTGAGATTAGTGATGTCTAAGTGCAACCTGCAGAGATTGTTGATGTCTAAGTGCAACCTGCTGAGATTGTTGATGTCTAAGTGCAACCTGCTGAGATTGTTGATGATGAACCCACCTGAGCCGCTCCAGGGTAGAGTTGGCACTCCAGCAGTCTGGGCTACGATGGAGGAGGCAATCTTGTCTCCCAGGGACCACATGGCCATCTCCGGGGGACCTGTCACATACACACATACATTCATATGGGCAATACAGGCAAAAACATTTCAGTGCCAGTTGTTTGTGCAAAATGACAGCATGAATTGAAGTCAGTGCTACAAGCCTGAAACAGACTACTGTAAGAGCTAATGATAAACAGTCCATATATGACCACTGCAATTTACCTTAAGTAATGCAATACAGTTTGGATGTAGACAATACCTGTTTGATGAAGGAATGCTTTACCAACTACTGAAACCAAACCACTCCTCACAGAAGATGATTGAACTTTGCGAGCCCTTCAGAAGCCCTGGCACTATGACCTCATATTGGTACTTTGCTTCTCTAAAACTACGAATGCCAGTATATTTTTATAGTTAATTCCAAAGACTTCGGTTTAACAAGCATTCACCCAGTATTAACTGTAAATTAATCTCAATTCATCGAGATGGTCAGTAGTTTCAGTTAATTAATCTTAATCCATCTTTTGCTACAATCATCTTGTCACAGAAAAGGGATCTCACATGGACAAATGTATCGTAAAATATTTCATTGTCAGTAAGGCACTACCGACACAATGCAGACAAAAAACTGAAGCCCACCTGACACAGAGCAGACCAATTTACCTATGAATGTGATCCCATTCTTGTGTAGTAAGTCTGGTAGCTTGGGATTTTCAGAGGCATGTCCCCATCCTGCCCACACAGCCTGGAAGAGAGTATCAGTTGATTTCTCAAATACTGTGTAAAATACAATCAGACTGTTTGGGGAATTGGTTCAAGCTTCAAGATGGATAAGTTTGCTGCTGATATTATACTAAATTTCATCACCGAACAAAAATTCCTCACAACGAACTAAAATAATTGAAAAGTAATCAATCATAATAATAATAATAATTAATTCCTTTGTCGGCAAACTTTATCCAACTTTTCATTGATGAAACTGACTTGCAGGAACAAGATTACCATCTACTAATGACAACATGTTTCAGATGAAACTGACTTGCAGGAACAAGATTACCATCTACTAATGACAACATGTTTCAGATGAAACTGACTTGCAGGAACAAGATTACCATCTACTAATGACAACATGTTTCAGATGAAACTGACTTGCAGGAACAAGATTACCATCTACTCATGACAACATGTTTCAGATGAAACTGACTTGCAGGAACAAGATTACCATCTACTAATGACAACATGTTTCAATGTTTCACACCTTATCATCATCAATAATAGTCAAGTTCAATCAAGTCGCTTGTGTCATTGCTTTAAACCACATCAGCAATACTGCAGCTAATCATGGCTACTAATGCTACTTTCAACATTATTCAGTTTTATCACAGCGTGTTGGCGTAATATTGGAGAAAAGCCTGACTTGATGCAGATTTTAGACAATTACCACATTGGTGGACCCAACAGACATGAGTATGGTGCTTAAAAACCCAGAAACGATGTGAACCCAGATTCAAACATTTGATGAGAGGTTACCACCAGACCAAAGGGACACAACTCTGCACAGCTAAGGTGTGATAAGGACAAGCAGAAATGTGCCATAATGATGGGTTTTACTATATGTTATCATTATAAAGACTAGCGGACTTAAAATGTCTGTTTCTATCGCTGTCAATCTGAATATTTCTGATCAATGCCCATGAGAGTGGAGTCCTTGTCTCACCTGGACCTGTGTTCGTTTCGAGATGTCGAGGATGAGTTCCACGTTGGCGTAGTTGTTGTTGTTGCTGCCGCCAGGTACAGGTATGTACTGGTCAGCCATTCGGATGTATTCTGGAAGGGTTTCGTAAGCTTTAAGCATCATATCTAGGTGTAATCACTAAAAGAAGGTTCGTACCGGTCATTCGTGAGGTTGTGTAAGCAACTGAGTCAATTTGGTATAATGCCGCTTTCAAATGTATTTCAATTACAGGTTAGTGGGAGGTAAGAGTGACGCGGTGCAGGTCTTTAGCTGCCCACGAGCATGGGTATGGTGCTGACATAATTAAATCTGGGATTCGAAACCCAAGAAGGTGATTTAAGCGTCTAGCATCGCATGTAAGTGTAATTAATAACAAGGTTCACAAATGCAATACAGTCAAGTCCCGTTAATCCGACATTGTTGGTTGCATATGATTTAGGAAACATGTTTTAGATGGGCCTGTTTATTCCCACTGATGAAAGAATGCATCTGCTTAGAGGAAACATGTTCGGTGCTTATACATGTTATTCTGTATCATAATGTCACAAAGTACATTGTTGCAGCGCTAATCTTGTCTGACATTATTTACATGCTAAGTAAGATCTTGATTACAAATCAAAAGCATTGTTATAAGAGTTATAGGTATAGCTCAGATGTGTGTATACCAGCATTAGCCTTGAGATCTTCTGGTGTGACCATTACAACGAAGCGAATGGCCCGCTCATTCCGGAACATCTCGTACGCCCATCTCCTCACGGACCGCATACACTTCACGGCAGCAATACCATTGTTGGCAATCAGAACCTGCAGAACAGACATATTAATATACACATCACAGAAGCAGTAACATTGAACAGAAACAAGATTCTCTACCTTGAGACAAGCATGGGGGATGGGGACCTATTCTGCCCAAGAATCGCCAAAGTCAGACAAGCATGGGGTAATGAGGACCTATTCTGCCCCTGGAATCTCCACAGTGAGAAAACCATGGGGTATGGGGACCTATTCTGCCCTGGAATCTCTACAGAGACAAGCATGGGGTATCAAGGACCTATTCTGCCCCGGAATCTCCACAGTGAGAAAACCATGGGGTAATGAGGACCTATTCTGCCCTGGAATCTCTACAGAGACAAGCATGGGGTATGGGGACCTATTCTGCCCCGGAATCTCTACAGAGACAAGCATGGGGTATCAAGGACCTATTCTGCCCCGGAATCTCTACAGAGACAAGCATGGGGTATGGGGACCTATTCTGCCCTGGAATCTCTACAGAGACAAGCATGGGGTATGGGGACCTATTCTGCCCTGGAATCTCTACAGAGACAAGCATGGGGTATGGGGACCTATTCTACCCCGGAATCTCTACAGAGACAAGCATGGGGTATGGGGACCTATTCTGCCCCGGAATCTCCACAGTCAGACAAGCATGGGGTATGGGGACCTATTCTGCCCCGGAATCTCCACAGTCAGACAAGCATGGGGTATGGGGACCTATTCTGCCCCGGAATCTCCACAGTGAGAAAACCATGGGGTAATGAGGACCTATTCTGCCCTGGAATCTCTACAGAGACAAGCATGTGGTATGGGGACCTATTCTGCCCCGGAATCTCTACAGAGACAAGCATGGGGTATCAAGGACCTATTCTGCCCCGGAATCTCTACAGAGACAAGCATGGGGTATGGGGACCTATTCTGCCCCGGAATCTCCACAGTGAGAAAACCATGGGGTAATGCAGACCTATTCAGCCCTGGAATCTCTACAGAGACAAGCATGGGGTATGGGGACCTATTCTGCCCTGGAATCTCTACAGAGACAAGCATGGGGTATGGGGACCTATTCTACCCCGGAATCTCTACAGAGACAAGCATGGGGTATGGGGACCTATTCTGCCCCGGAATCTCCACAGTCAGACAAGCATGTGGTATGGGGACCTATTCTGCCCCGGAATCTCTACAGAGACAAGCATGGGGTATCAAGGACCTATTCTGCCCCGGAATCTCTACAGAGACAAGCATGGGGTATGGGGACCTATTCTGCCCCGGAATCTCCACAGTGAGAAAACCATGGGGTAATGCAGACCTATTCAGCCCTGGAATCTCTACAGAGACAAGCATGGGGTATGGGGACCTATTCTGCCCTGGAATCTCTACAGAGACAAGCATGGGGTATGGGGACCTATTCTACCCCGGAATCTCTACAGAGACAAGCATGGGGTATGGGGACCTATTCTGCCCCGGAATCTCTACAGAGACAAGCTTTTGGGTATGGGGACCTATTCTGCCCTGGAATCTCTACAGAGACAAGCATGGGGTATGGGGACCTATTCTGCCCCGGAATCTCTACAGAGACAAGCATGGGGTATGGGGACCTATTCTGCCCTGGAATCTCTACAGTCCGACAAGCTTGGGGTATGGGGACCTATTCTGCCCCGGAATCTCCACAGTGAGAAAACCATGGGGTAATGCAGACCTATTCTGCCCTGGAATCTCTACAGAGAAGCATGGGGTATGGGGACCTATTCTGCCCTGGAATCTCTACAGAGACAAGCTTGGGGTATGGGGACCTATTCTGCCCCGGAATCTCCACAGTGAGAAAACCATGGGGTAATGCAGACCTATTCTGCCCTGGAATCTCTACAGAGACAAGCATGGGGTATGGGGACCTATTCTGCCCCGGAATCTCTACAGAGACAAGCTTTTGGGTATGGGGACCTATTCTGCCCCGGAATCTCCACAGGGACAAGCTTGGGGTATGGGGACCTATTCTGCCCCGGAATCTCCACAGTGAGACAAGCATGGGGTATGGGGACCTATTCCGCCCCGGAATCTCTACAGTCCGACAAGCTTGGGGTATGGGGACCTATTCCGCCCCGGAATCTCCACAGTCAGACAAGCATGGGGTATGGGGACCTATTCTGCCCTGGAATCTCCACAGTCCGACAAGCATGGGGTATGGGGACCTATTCTGCCCCGAAATCTCCACAGTCAGACAAGCTTTGGGTATGGTGGCCTTTTTGGCCCCAGAGTGTAGACCCATTCCTCCCACAGAGACCCGACCAATGAGACTGACCTTGTTGATGACTCGGTTCCCCCCGAAGCGCTTCACATACTCCTCCGGTGTGGCCACACAGAAGTCCTTCACATACTGCCTCTTCCCCCGCGTTGTGTCCAGAGTGATCCCGGACATCGTGTGCCTGAAACCAGCAGCATCATCAACGGTGCTCCACCTCTCCTCGCAACTACATCATCACAACATGCTCAAGGTCTAACAATAACAGCTGGTACATATCCAAATCATACACAAACACGACCACTAGTAGCCACAAAGAAACACATATCATGTCAACATGGTACCAACTGATTTACGACCTTGTGGATTAAGATTAGTAATGTTCTAAGCAGGACTAAGATTTAACACATTTAACCATGACAAATAGTATTTACTCTACTAGCATGACTAGACACACCAGTACATTGCAAGAGGGGAACATATGCCCATATTCTAACCTTATAAAGAGTGGTGAATCTCAGCTTTCAGTGTCACACACACATATATATACCACCCATGCCCTGTGTTATACACACATCCTATGACAACAACAGGGGGCTCTAGCTTATCAGGGCTTGCCACTGTAATGTTGAGTAATCGACAGACATACAAGCAATGTCAACTGGGTGTAAACAGGCCACTGCTAAATTCTTCACCTGTTATCAATACCCGGGTGACAATACAACCCTTTAAAGGGGAAGTGTACACGCAAAAATCACTTTCTTTCTTTTTCTAAACAAAACGCAATTTTAGAATTTATCTGTGTTTGAAAATATACACTCATTTTTTTCACAGTGAAAGTAGGAAGCTCACAATAGTGTGAAAATGATATGCCGTTATGAGGCCTTCGTTTTTCGAGCTAAACTGGCCTGAGTTATCCCCCTTAGATTATGACGTAATTGGTGCCAATTCAACTGGGTCCCTGTCTATTCTCAACGCAAAAAATATCAAGTACCAGTTTGCGGTAAAACAACATGGCCTACGACACACTCCGGCGCAGTGGTGACTCAGCATAACACTATGCTGGCTGGCATCTGAGACGCTAGAATCACACACCTAGACCTACACCACGTGAAGCGGCTCTAACAAAGCATGATGACGTCATAATGTTTATCAATTGGCACCAATGACGTCATATTGCAAGGGGCATAAGCCATGGTGTTTTTGTTGTGGAAATAGAACACTTAGTAAATGTGAAAAATATAAATCGTTTTAATGCGAAAAATATGTTAATTAATTGTGATATTTTTTATATTTTTGTCTATGACACTTCTAGGTTAACACTTTTAATGTGGAAAAAGTACAAGAAAAATAGGTTAATTTCCGTGTGAACTTGCCCTTTAAGAAACAGATTGTGATCTTTGGGTAGTAGAGACTAGGTGAACATCACATCATATCCTGTTTCATTCAGTCTGTTCAGCAGTTTACCATGTAACAGGTCATTTTTTTCATCTAGATTTGATACATGTTTATAACATTTATTCAAGGAAGAGAATTTATGGATGTTAACTTCTTTATTATGAGAAACACAACGTTTCGGAGTAAATGCCTTTCAAAGACTTAACATTTATTTAGGAGATAGACATACTGTGTTTTCAGTTTCAGCACTGTTAAATCTACAAATGACCTAGCTTTACATTGAAAACATTTTCTTAACATGTCTATTCTACCATGACAAAATTAAATGTGAACTACTTGATGTTAGCAAAGGTATTGAGTGAAGCGGCATTGAGTGTTCAGTGTTTTCAGTGGGTATTCAATTGGATTTAAGAAACACTAATACTAGCCAACAGACATGAATGAGTGAGTTGGGTTTTACGCCACTTTTAGCAATATTCCAGCAATATCACAGCAGGGGACACCAGAAATGGGCTTCACACATTGTACCCATGTCGGGAATCGAACCTGGGTCCTCGGCATGACGTGCAAACGCTTTAACCACTAGGCTACCCCCACCGCCCCCTACCAGCATGACCAAAGTATGGCACTGTATATGCTCAAACAATGTTGTATTACATCAACATGCTTCCCTTACACAGATTTCAGGAATTGAAAGTGTCTGGCACAAAATACTTTTTGTGTTTGTTTGTGATTTAATGCTACACTCAGCAATATTCTTTTATATGATGGTAGTTTGAAAATTTATCGACTCTGGATCAGACAATCCAGTGATTGACATCATGAACATCGATCCACGCAGTTGGGATACGATGACATGCACCAACCAAGTCAGCGAGCCTGACTACCCGATTCTGTTAGTCCCCTTTTACAACAAGTATAGTCGCCTCTTATGGTAAGAATGGGTTGCTGAAAACCTATTCTCCCCTGGGTATTCACAGGTCTACAAAATACTTGTGCTTATGATATCATTCACTGGATTGTCTCGTCCAGATCTGACTATTTACAAAAATTACTGAGTGCAGCAACGAAGAAGCAAGCATTAAAATGATGTCACTTCCATTGCAATAACAAATACTATCTGACAAAGTCAAGCCGTCCGTCACAACCAGGCCTCACCTGGACACTCAAAATATTCCCAGCAAAAGTTGAGTGGTACATATTACAGTGAGTGAGTTTGATATTACGCCACTTTTAGCAGTATTCCAGCAATATCCCAGCAGGGGACACCAGAAATGGGCTTCAAACATTATACCCATGCTACCCTTGTGTCTTTATATCACAGATATCAACACCCATGGATTGAAGCTAATAAAACACCAAGCCTTGCCAAGGATTTTTCGACTTTGATCTACAAGTATTGATGTACTTGATATCAAAAGACACTCAGGTGAGATTCTCCAAATGCCTATAAGCTCTGATAAAAGATTCCTATCAAATCTTACCATGTGTGTTGTCAGTACAAGAAACAGAAGTTTTTGACCCCACAGCTACTACCAGTTGATGACCTTGACCTTCAGCCTACCAGCTAACAGCCAGGTGAGCCAGCCTCCTATTATCAACCTGCTTATCAGGCAGAACGTTCTGACCACTGACCTGCACTGACCATGCACACATGGGGTACATCCCCAAACTTACCTTGTGTAGTGCTTGGCCTGTCACATTGCATGCATAGTTTGGTGTCCTGGTGATGGGTATATTTCAACATGTCAGGATGGACACCGTGTGCCAGGGACAGTAAGTTGTTTATCATCCACTTTATAATGATGTAGATGTCACATTGATACTTCAAACTGACATGATGATAGTGTATGTGGGAAACCAGGGTCTCGTTCCACTAAGCGATCGTAGCGCTACGACTGTCGTAAGTCTGAGGAAGTTATGATCGTCTTAGAGCTACGACAGTTTTGTGCAACAGGGCCACGATGTTTGTGTATCATATAATCGTGGAGCTTGGTTTTCAAATAAAGTTATGATCGTCTTAGAGCTAAGACAGCTTTGTGGAAAAGGGCCACGATGTTTGTTTATCATATAATCATGGAGCTTGGTTTTCAAATAAAGTTATGATCGTCTTAGAGCTACGACAGCTTTGTGGAAAAGGGCCTAGATGTTTGTGTATCATATAATCGTGGAGCTTTGTTTTCAAATAAAGTTATGATCGTCTTAGAGCTACGACAGCTTTGTGGAAAAGGGCCTAGATGTTTGTGTATCATATAATTGTGGAGCTTGGTTTTCAAATAAAGTTATGATCGTCTTAGAGCTACGACAGCTTTGTGCAACAGGGCCACGATGTTTGTGTATCATATAATCGTGGAGCTTGGTTTTCAAATAAAGTTATGATTGTCTAAGAGCTTTGACAGCTTTGTGGAAAAAGGCCTAGATGTTTGTGTATCATATAATCATAGAGCTAGGTTTTCAGATTCTGTGCCCTGTTTTTAATCAGGCAGACTCTGTTGCTCTGACCATCTAATCAAGTGTATTGATGTGGCCAAATACCAAGGCCAGAACATCTATGCGACTTTTGTATTGTGTCATATATAGAAACTGAATTCCAGAGTGCAGCGATAGAAATTGGCACTGGTCCTATAGTCCTTGCCAAACTGCCCAATAGTAAAGGTATCATAGGAACTAGTAGAAATTTGCCATTTTAAGGGTTTTGCTATATGTTATTATTATAAGGATAGTGGACTAAAAATGTTAGTTTCTACAGCTGGAGTGCCCATTTCACTCAAGTTTGGGGGAACATGTACTTCCTTAATATTATTACACATGTCCAACTGCTGTTAAACTAACACAATTATATAGCTGCACTTCTATGTTCTAAGAAGTGAGTGAGTGAGTATGGTTTTACGCCCCTTTTAGCAATATTCCAGCAATATCACAGCGGGGGACACCAGAAATGGGCTTCACACATTGTACCCATGTCAGGAATCGAACCCGGGTCTTCAGTGTGACGAGCGAATGCTTTAACCACTAGGCTACCCGACCGCCCCTGTTCTAAGAAGATTTGCAAAGTATGTATTCCTTGCTCTCAAGACAACGAACACTCTTCTTAAAGATGTGCCAGTTTTGTAGTGCTATGCCATTGTAACATTGCGAGACTGATCGTTGTCAGTGTGTGTAACGTGTGTTGGGACCTGATCCACAGGGAGTTCGAAGGTTATGATCAGCCTTAGTAACCTTAGCACTCCAAGGAGTTTTGACCCCTAGTCTCGCAAAAGTTCGTGGCTTGCAGGTGCTTTATGGATCGTTCCCCTGATGTAATAGTCAGCGCTCTGTACATGTGAACTGATAACCCAATGTACCTTGTATAATGGACTGTGGCCCCTTGATGGAATAAACTTATCATGCTCATTCAGTCAATGAAGCCAGACTTCATTTCTCAACCCAAAATCATCAAGGTTGGTAGGTCTAAAAAGATCCAATAAAAAACCCAATTTTAAATATATACTTTTAATTTTTTCAAAATGTTAGGTTGGTAGGGGAGGAGAAAAGTGGGGGCAGAAGGAATAGTGATTTATAGTTCATTGCAAACAAGGGTGTATTTTTAAACATTTTACTTATTTCTGGGTTACAATGGCAGAATAAAATAACACTGCTTTTCATTTTTTCCCCCCAAATAATTGTTTTTCAGAATCAGCTGTAAACCAAGTTTACAAAAAGTCTGACCTTAAATGAAGACACTCAAAAGTCATACTTTTTGTGGTTACGATATTTAAAAGGCAATTGACACAAGAAGACAAAGCC